GTGTGATAGGCGTGCCGAGGAAACCAGTAAGCGTGTGTGTTTCTTCATGTGGTTTGGGCCCCCGGGCTCCCGCAAGCCGTGTGCACACATATCTGTTTCAACCTCGAGCATCCGTTCCATCAGTCGTTTCATCTCTGGCATCTTCCAGGCAAGAGATCGAACTGGGTGTTCGAAAACCGCATCCCCCCCTCGGTCCAACTGTGCGTGTATCTCTTGAATGCAATAGCGTATGTGCGCGCGTGCTTGTCGTACCATGCGCATATGTTCCGTCACACTGTACAGTCGTGCATTTACAGTCGCAAAGCCACCGCACCACGTACAAGGGGGACAAGCAACCAATACTTTCGGTCGGAAACGTTTCAGTTCGTTTGAGACCCGATGTTGTACCCCTCGGTCCTCCAGATGGCATCCCGTAAGTAAATCATAGCTTCGTCCGGTTCCACGATCGGTGTCTTCAGCTCGTTTGAGTACCCGAGGGGGTGAGAAAAGTTCCGCTACTCTCCACGTCACCTTCTCCCTGGAGATCCCAAGAGCATCCCGAAGGTGTCCTTGGAGCAGCCGTCGGGTTTTTCGTTTCAGCACCGAGGTCCCGGGGTCCTCCAGATCCTCCTCCGAGGCCTTCGACTCGTTCCTCCCCGCGATGTCCTCCTGGTACTCGTCCTTCCCGACATCCTCCTCGACGCTGTCCTCCTGCTTCCCCTCTTTCGGCTCCTCCTCATTCTGCTTCACCTCCTCCGCGCTCTCGGGCTCAAGCTGGCACTCGATCCCGTCTGGCACATCGTTAGAGGGGGCTGACACGACGCAGGCTTCGTAGCCCTGCTCGATGATTGGCATGATGTAGTTGCCCGACTCCGTCTCTTCTAACACCACGGTAGTGTCCAGAGCGTCGAAGGTGATTCGATTCTCCGTGAAATCCATGCGGCCCTTGAGGGCCTTCAGCAGCGGCTTGCTCAAAAGGAGCGGGACGTCGCCCTGTACCACGGCCGCCGTGATGTGGCCTGTCACGCCACCTATCTGTACTGGAATCTTGACCGCCTGCTGGGTCTCCTCGCGACCACTGTTGCCGAAACGGAAAACATTGGCCTCCTCGTAGAACTCTAGTGCGAGGCCACGCTGCTCGAGAAGCTTCTGTAACTTCCGCAACGGGTTGACTCCGATGAGCGTCCTTCCGCAGCCCGGGTCTACCACTCCCTTGCCGATGGGACAAGCGAAGAAGATCTCCATCACGGGTTCCAGGTGAAGCTTCTCCCGATGGGCACGCAGGCGTTGTAGCACCGTGGCCAGGCTCGCATCATGAGCCCCTGGCCCCTCCATGACCAGGAAGGCTGCCGCGGCTCCGGTTGGTGGTCGATTTCGCTGGTGCTTGCCCTTGCCGCTGCCCTTCTTGCGAGGGCACTCCCGCGACCAGTGACCGATCTGTTTGCAGCTGTGGCACCGTGTCTTCCTCTTGGCCTCGTCCAGCTCACGGCGGAACGTGATCTGCAGCTTGTCGGCTTTCTGGAAATTCCTGGTCTTGCGGGCATCGTTGATCTCCTGTCGCTTCTCCTTCCACGTAGCAGCCAGAACCTCGACGAGCTCGGACTCTTCGAAGATCTCCTCGTCCTCGGGGGTGTCGGCCATCGTCGAGCCATCACCGGCCAACAGGGCCTCTATGTCCGCGAACTCGTCGTCCTGAGTGTAGGACTCTGGCGCCCACGGTTGGGGCGGTGGAGGCACCGGTTCCTCGTCCTCAGCGTTGTCAGCCATGAACGCACCTGCCTCGGTGCGGCGCAGCTTCGGTATCTTGTACGTCGGGAAAACCGCTCGGATAGCCACCTCCATGGACTCCGCCGTGTACTTGTCGGCCTTCGCCTTCACGATCGCCCTCTGGTCGGGCGTGAACCCACAGCGATGAAGCATGATCCAGGCCTGAGCTTCCGTCGGAAACTGTACGTTGGCCTTGGCGCCACACTTTTGGAAAACTTCCTTGGATCGGCCCAGCCAGGCCGTCACATGCTCGCCTTCACGTCCTTGAAGCCCGAAAACGGCCTCCAGGTGCTCGCCTAGCACGTCCTCCTGCTCCTTGGCGGGCCAGCGCTTCTCCAATAGCTGCAGAAGTTGGACGTCGCCGTCCTCGCACTCGTAGTCCTCGAACTCCAGGTGGTCCACAACCTCCAGCGCCGAGCCCTGGAGCAAGGTGTAGATGAAGGGTCCACGTTGCTCTTTCTCTAGCTTCCTACAGGCCATCGCCGAGCGAGCCCACTTGATCCACTTTCGCAGCTCCTGGTGGCTACCCTGGCTACCATCGCCATGAAAATACCGAAGTCCTTTCGGGTCCGTGGTGTCGCTCATGATTTGGTCTGTCGTCTGCCGGCGCCTCCCGGCAGGATGGTGATGTGCCTCGCCTCAGGCACGGGAGCAACCTGCTCCGCTACCAATGGGAAAGCCACAGCTTCCCACTGGCTGACATCCGAAGCCCTGAAGGAACTCTTTTTGGGTCTACCGGGCGCCCCGCACTCTCGTGATATCCCCTGGTCCGAAACAGCAGCGGCACGCATATGTGACGGGCTGAGCACTGAACAGAACAAGACACTGAGAGCACAACAAGCTACATGACATTGGTCTGTGGCTCATACTGACAAAAACACCCTCCTCCTCCTCCTCCTCCTCCTCCTCCTCCTCCTCCTCCTCCTCCTCCTCCCCTTCTTTCCGTTGTTGCTCTCCCCCAACCCCTCTCCCCTACCACCTCCACCCTCTTTGCTCCTCGCCCCCTCCTCTCTCTCCCGCGCCCCGCTGCCGCGCCGGGGCAGCACCGGCACCGAGTCGGACTCCAGCAAAGGATAGTCATCCGCGTCCTCCTCCTCGTCGTCGTCGTCCTCCTCCTCCTCCTTCTCCTCCTCGTCATCATCCCTGCTTCCAGGCAGTTTTCGGCAACGACGCTGCGCATTATATCTCCTGCCGGCCTCACACGGTGTACTTTGAGGGTCGCGCCGGTCGTGCCACGCTGTGTGGTCGCCGAGATGGAAAAATCGTGGTGTCTGTGTTTTTGGTATGGGCAGGCGTGGTGCGCAGCGTCACGTCTACCAGCCGCAGGCGATGGAGAGGACGAGGCGGAGGCAAAAAACAAAGGAGATGTTGGTCCGACAGGTCCGCAATCTCAGACACGGGCTGAACAGAAACAAGTCTTTCGACTGTATGGTATTCACGTGTCGTGTCGACGTGGCGGCGACCCGCAACAGCGCGGGCGTTCAAGGCTGAACGCCGCCAGTGGCCCGGAACTTGCCATCATCGAGCGATCCGCGCTGTCAGGAAGCCGCGATCGTTCAGGTGTTCACGGGCCGCGCGATTTGAGGAATGAGCACCGACGTCGCCACGGCACCGACACGTCGTTCCACTGCGCCTCCTGGTCCGCCGTCCCAGCCGTGCGTTGAAGGCTATGGCCGTCACAGTGGCACCTTGATGAGCGCGCCCCTCGCACAACGATCGGCCTCCTGATGGTCAACAGAGTCTCATGATCGGTGCGATGGGGTAAAACAGCGCCTGTGTTCCTGACCTCTCTTTGAGCTTGCTCTCTACTTTCATTCTGGCAAGTTTCCTCGCACGGCCCCCCGCCTCCCCACCCCATTCCGCCTTATTTTCAAACGGCGGTGGGCCGAAAAGGCGCCCAAGCGAGTCCCTGCATGGGCCAAGTAAAAACCTCATTTCGGGCTTTGCCACGTCCTCCAACGCCCTCTCCATTCAAGTCAACTTGCCGCAGTCTGAAGAAAACTGCCTCTCGTCGGGCAACGCATTCCCTGATTGCGAAGGCCTTACGGCCGGCGCCGCCGACCCTGAAGGGGGACGACGACGAAGACAGCGACGATGAAAATATTCGAAAAGCTAAGGAATGTGAGGGAGGAGGAGAGGGGGACGGAGGAGGTGAAGGGGAAGGGGAAAAGGAGGGAGGGAGGAAGATAGTTAGAAGGAGGAGGGATGAGGAGCTGGATGGCGGAGGAGTCGCCATGGATTCGCCATCTACCACGATGGGGGAGATGTGTCGCCACCAAGACAAAGGGCAGCGCGGCAACCATTTTACTGTGTATACACCGTCGGGCTGCCGACGACGTCGCTGACGTGGGTCAGAGTCCTCATGGATGTTTCTTGGGGTCTGGTCGAAACGCTCTTGGGGGCCTCTGGGGACAGTGTAGGAATCTCTTGGGAGCCTTTTTGGGGCCTGTCAGGGCTTCCTGGAGGCCTCCCGGGAGCACCTTGGGGTCTCTTCGGGGCTTCTAGGGGCCTTTGGGGGGCCTTTGGGTTTCTCCTGGGAGAGCGGAGGGCTCGAAATGTCCGTTTTGGGCCGTCGTCTCGGCGCCGTCTTGAAGCCGTCTTGGGGGCCTCCGGGCTCGTTTGGGGGCGTCTTGGGCCGTCTTGGGGCTCTCTTGGGCCGTTTTTGGGTCGCTCGTGGAGCCGCTGTTCTGGAAGGCCGCTTGGGCCGTCTGGGAGCGTCTGGAAGAGGAACTGGCGAGAATGCCGAAATCATTCAAAAACCTATGGGAAATCTTCGACTTTTGTTCTGGAGGCACTCTTGGGGCTGCTCCTGGCGGCCATTTTGAGCGTCTTGCGGGATTCTTGGGCCGTCTGGAGGCCGTCCAGGCGCAGATCGTTCGGCGATTCGGGGCCCTCGTGGACTGTCTTCGGGAGCTTTTGGCGCACGCTTGGCCCGTCTTGGCGTTCTTTGTGCGGCCCGGGAGCCTCCGGAGGGGAAACGTATCTTACCCTGGACCCCCCCTTCCCTCCCGGCGGGGAAGGGATCAAAGGGAAGGGGCTCCCCCTCGAGTGTATGACGACGTTGCTTAATTTCGCTTTGGCTGACTGCCTTGACGAGGAGAGCCCTTGAAAGGAGAGCCCAGGGAAAGGAAAGCGCAGGGAACGAGGACGATGGAGACGGCGATGAACGAATGACGGCGGCGACGATCCGAACGGAACAGACCTGCACACACGCCGACAGGGTCGGCGGATTACCTCCTCCTCGGCCCCGCCAGGCCCTCAAGCAGCAGCTCACCAAGGCTGGCATCGACGTCTCCAAGTACGGCTCCCCAGGGACGAAGACGCTGAAGGAGACGTTGCATCGTGGTTGAGCTCAGAAGCCGGTATTGCTACCCTCAGACATGCTCGCGCCGTGAAAATTATCCCGACGGGAGGTTTTTGTAATTTTCGGCCTCTGGGGGCCCTCGGGCCCCAGGACCATCAGAAACGATTCAGGAGGAAAAGCCGATCCCGGGGGAGGAGGAGAGTCAGGAGGATGAGGAGGAGGAGGAGGAAGAGCAGGAGAAGGGGCTGGAGAAGGGGCCAGGAGCAGGAGTACAGGAGGAGCTTGTGGAGGAGGAGGAGTAGGAGGAGGAGGAGGAGGAGGAGGAATAGGAGGAGGAAGAGGAGGAGGACGAGAACGAGGAGGAGGAGAAGGAGGAGGAAGAGGAGGAGGAGTAAGCGCTTGTGGAGGAGGAGGAATGGGAGGAGGAGGAGGAGGAGGAGGAGGGGAATGAGGTCGATACCGCTGCGGGTGAACGTTGCTAACACGAACAAGACGTCGGCGGTTGGGAGCTACCAGTGCTCCGATGCTGCTACCCGCCCCTCGTCGTCACGGCTGGACTCGTCTCGAAGTCTTGGTCGGAACATGCTCAGGGGGAGATCCGGGGACCACTCCTCCTCGTCCTCCCCCGCCGCCCCCTGCCCTCCTCCTCCCTCCTCCCCTCCCCCTCCTCCTCCTCCCCCTCCCCCCCTCCTCCTCCTCCTCCTCCTCCTCTCTCCTTCTCCTCCTCTTCCTCCTCCTCCTCCTCCTCCTCCTCCTCCCCCTCCTCCTCCTCCTCCTCCTCCTCCTCCTCCTCCTCCTTTTCCTCCTCCCCGGGCTCCTGTGAGCGGGGTAGGGTCAGACCGAGGTATGAGATCGAGGTCAGTTCGGGGAGGGCGCCCTTGATCTTCGTGCTTGCTAGATGTTCTTGTGCATCCTGGGGGGGGCACCCTTGGATTATGTTTTTTTTTTTGCCGACGGAGGGTCTCATGTTCTTGAAGGGTGTTCTTCTGGCCACGGTCCGACTGCACTTCATTGACATACACTTTGGGAGTTCCGCCCAGATTTCTCTGATCGGCGATGGGTCCCCCCAGCGGCGCCTCCAGCGCCGCTCCCGGCGCGCTCCGCGCGCCAGAGGGGGCTCCAGCGCCGATCCAAGTTTGCGCTCAGCTCCGAAAGTGTACGTGTATGTGTTTCGTTTTGCTCGCCTAGATGCTGCCACAAGCCCCTTTGTCGCCACGGCAGGATAAGCCTTGAACTCTTTTTTGTTACTCGACATACCCTCGACGATACGCCACTCACACTCCGCGCGGCGGCGTCCTTGGCAAAGCGCTGCAGCGAACGCTGACATCATGTCATTGACCTGTCACGCACCACCACACAAGGCAAACGTTTGAAGACCAGAATCAAGCCATAGATAGACAGATGATGCACTCGATGATGTCCCGGTTGGAGAGGTTCACGCAGTGCTTTGCTGTGAATGTGATAAACAACGGGAATATATACTTATCGAAATGTTGTCTGAACAGCTCAAACAAGGAATCTCAGTATGTTGGAGCCTTCCCATGTGACATCGTGTAGAACAGACCAAGCATGGCGATGTCGCGCCGCATACCAAGTGGGCCCAAATTGTGCTGCAAAGTAGTATGCCATTCGAGTTCATGGCTGAACAGACTCCAGAAGACATCTGGGGAGCCATGGTATTGGTATCGCGCTCGCGCCCCCATGAACCAGCCTTGGGGGCCCTTGCCCCATGGATCTCGTGGTTCACTGCTTCAACCCGTTCGGGCCGTCCTGCCATGTTTGCGAGCGCGCTGTGATGTGACACCACTCCAGATAGAGAGACGGCCAGGGCCGCGCAACGATAGCTCGTTTTCGTAGCTGTGAGCGGCTCAGACACTCAAAAGTGCAAACCGTGTGTGTGCGCGCGTGTGTGTGGTGTGTGTGTGTGTGTGTTTGTGTGTGTGTGTGCGTGTGCGTGTGCGTGTGCGTGTGCGTGTGCGTGTGTGTGTGTGTTTGTGTGTGGTGTGTGAGTGTGAGTGTGAGTGTGAGTGTACGTGTGTGTGTGGTGTGTGGTGTGTGAGTGTGAGTGTGAGTGTGAGTGTGCGTGTGCGTGTGCGTGTGCGTGTGCGTGTGCGGGGGTGCGGGGGTGCGGGTGCGGGTGCGGGTGCGGGTGCGGGTGTGCGTGTGCGTGTGCGTGTGCGTGTGCGTGTGCGTGTGCGTGTGCGTGTGCGTGTGCGTGTGCGTGTGCGTGTGCGTGTGTGCGTGTGCGTGTGCGTGTGTGCGTGTGCGCGTGTGTGCGTGTGTGCGTGTGTGCGTGTGTGCGTGTGTGTGTGTGTGTGTGTGTGTGTGTGCGTGCCCCTGGGCCCCTTCATAAAGCCGTGCGTTGCAGTAGCTTCGCGTACTAAGGGTAGTCAAGAAGACGATTGGGGGCCAGATCGCAGCATCTCACCAGATCCCGGTGGCACTCGAGCCTCGCTTCGTCCCTGGGATGCTCCCTGGCCCCGACCTGAAAGAAGAGCACGAGGAAGAGGTGGAGAACGAGGGAACAGCAGGGAGGAGGATGAGGAAGAGCAGGGTGGGAAGGAGAGAGGAAGCTCCTGCTCAGGGAACTGCCCGTTCGTCAGGAGTTTTCTGCCGAGCTGATCAAGGGAGAGTCGACACTGGTGCAGGACCGGATGCAACCGCATGGGAATGTCCCAGCGGGGTGCGTGTACACATTCGAGTCGCATTGACAAAGCGGGATGCGCACGCGATTCGACATCATCTATTGCATGTGATCCTCTCACGCGTAGCGTCTTCGGATATATTCAGATTTTTTATGTGCCGTATTGTACGCTACTTGGTAGGTTCTTTTGCGCGGGCGTCCATTCTTCTTATGATGATTGACCATCGCGGGCATCCTGAAATGATTATCCAGTTGCGTTCGCACGTTTCTGGGCTGGGTGGTGAGCGCGTGGGGGATGATTGGAAGGCTCCTCCCGCAGATGCTTTTGTGTGGTACTTTTCATACGGAGGGCGGAAGACCCACTGGGGTGGTCTAAAGATCGAACCGATGTGGGGCTCGATGCTTGGAGTGTGGGGCCCTACCATTGTCCCTGCGAGGAGCCAAAAAGTCGAAGAACGCGAGGGCCTGACTCGACAGGCCAACTGCTGCAAGCACGGTGGTGGATAATGCTGGATAGATGGCCGCAGTCCTACGGCAGGGCACAACCATAAGAGACGAAGAATAATCATAATAATCCGTAAGGGATTCGCCCCCTGCCGCCGGCCCTCTCTCTCGGATAATGCGCTATGCAAGAGCTATGTCATGAGGCCTGGGCGCTGTCGTGAAGCAGTATCGGAACTTCATGCGAGGCCGACTCAGAATGAGCAAAAACAATCGATCACCACAGGGGTTACCACACCTGGCGATTGGTAAGACGTCGTGACCCTGCCGATCTGAATCCCATGTGTTTTTGGACCCTGACCGCGCCGATCTGCGTGAGGGGTGCCACCGAATTTCAGAAATGTGGCAAATCCCATGTGTCTTTGGACCCTGACCCCGCCGATCTGTGTGAGGGGTGCCACCGAATTTCAGAAATGTTCAAATCCCTTGTGTCTTTGGACCCTGACCCCGCCGATCTCCATGAGGGCTGACACCGAATGTCAGACATGTGGCAAATCCCATGTGTTTTAGGACCCTGACCCCGCCGATCTGCCTGAGGGGTGGCACCGAATGTCAGAAATGTAGCAAATCCCTTTTGTTTTTGGACCCTGACCCCGCCGATCTGCGTGAGGGGTGCCACTGAATGTCAGACATGTGGCAAATCCCTTGTGCTTTTGGACCCTGACCGCGCCGATCTGCGTGAGGGGTGCCACCGAATGTCAGAAATGTGGCAAATCCGGGCCTCGTCTGCGAACGTCTGCTTGACCGCTTGGCCTTCGGGGCTGCTCGGTGGGCGTGTGGCCCCACGTCTGGCTGCTGCGCCGGGCCTCCCTGCAGAGCGCGCGGGTTCGCTCTGGAGGAGCACGGCGGGCAAGAGAAGGCGAACCACTCTGGGCACTGGGAATCTCAAGCTCGCCTCCCCCCTCCCCGCGACGCCTCCGTCCCCCATTCTCCTCCCCCCGCCCTCTTCACCTGAGTCCCCCAGCCCTCGCCCTCCACCCTCTCCCACCACCTGGGGAGGTAAGCGCCCCAAATTGCCTTTCCAGGATGTTTTCCAGGTGCTGAAAACTGCCCACGGCTTCTACCCGCTGGCTTTCTGATTCTAGCGTGCCAGTCTCGCACTTCGCTAGCTCAGCCCTCAGAGGAGGAGGAGGAGGAGGAGGAGGAGGAGCCAGGGCCGCCCTCAGAAGAGGTGGACAACTGCCCTCGACGTCTGCCAAACCGGTTCTCTGAGACTAGCACGTCAGTCACGCTTTCAGCTTTCGCTGCCTGTTTGTTACCGTATGTTGCGCTGTGGATTCTCTGTATTGGCGATGGCGGGCAAGGGGTATCAATGATGATAGGGGAACCGATTTCGAGCATGAGGCAGAGTGGTTAAGGGGCGCAGGGATGGTGGAGGGAATGGAAGTGTGGTAGGGGCGATGGGAAATAGGGAATAAAGGAGGGAGTGGGATGTTGGCAGAGAATCTGGGAGAGAGGGAGGGAAGGGCCAGGGGGCTATGGAAAATAAGGAGGCGGATGGATCGATGGGGAATGAGGAAGGAAGACATGACAGTGACAGGGGAAGCAAGGAGCAAGGGGAAATGTGAGTAAACGGAGAGGCTCGCGACAGGTCTGACATTCTACCCCTCCCACCCATCATGTGATGCTTAAACAAAAGCGGGCGGGGCCTCTTCCCTTAACAGGAGGAGGGAGGAAGGGGAGGCGGTGGCGGATGACCAGGAGGACGATGAGGAGGAAGAGGAGGAGGATGAAAAAGGAGGATGAGAAAGGAGGAGGGGAATGATCATTTAGCAGCTGGAGCAGGAGGAATAGGAACAGGGTAGCAGGAGGATTGGGGGAAAGCGGCGAACGGGAACCGAGGGGGGTGGCAGCGGCGAAGAAGAAGTCTGATGCCGACGCCTGGCCAGCGACGGAGCCAGAACGCAGTTCTCAACGAGCACAGCGCCGATCCTGAGGCGTTGGCCACTTCAGCAGGAGCGCCCTGCTTGAAGGACCGAGAAGGAGCTGATCGAAGAGAGAACATGGAACATACATCAGATTGGAACCGCTTGTGTCTAGAATCCGTACGCGAGTGAGGCGGCGGCATCATTGGGCATTGCCAGTAGGAATGGGGAGGGGAGCATGAAGAAGCGATAGACAGACAGAGAGAGAGCGAGGGAGGCGACACACACACACAGATGCCATCGCCACCTAGCCCAACATACCGGTGGTTCGCTGCATGAACCCCCTTGGCCGCAAAAGAAGGCATGCGAGGCAGGTGGGACATGCCGCACGTCTCCTAGACTGCATACTGCCCACGTATAGAAGTGGTGCATCTGTGCGTGTGTATATATATATATATGTATAACCAGAGTGTATATATGTGTAAGCATGGAGAGTTCGACGAAGAGAGGGGGGGAGATTGTGAGAAAGCCGGGGGGGAGAGAGGGAGATCGAGTGACAACGCCGCATATACTCGAGTCAATTCGAGTGGCCGGCAGGATGGCGCAGGTTCGACGATCCGTGTGGTGGACGTCGTTGTCTTGATCATCCAGCGCAGAAACGGCCAGGAGAGCTCAAGCGTAGAGCCAGGCAGTTCGATGTTCCAGTCATGTTGGATGTTGTACTTATTTGATGTCGCCGCTTACTTCGTCACATGCACCACGTGTTCAACTCTTTTGCTTTCGCGTCTTCTCGTTTTATCGTATCGTCATAGTCATATGTCTTCCTCTCTCTACTCGACCCCCGTCTCCTGATCATGCGCCTCCCCCATTCTTTTCATCCTTCTCCTCATTCCCCCCTTTCCTTTCTCCTCCTCCTCCTGTTCCTCCTCCTCCTCATCATCCCCTCTACCCACATACTCTTCGTGTGCGACCATCAGGGCCTGCACACCCCATGTACAGTGAACATCTCGAGCTGTGAGGTGCCGCACTTCGCGGCATAGAGGCGTGAACAGCCGGAGCCTTGTCCACAGCTGCGTGCGATCGTCACTTCTACCTCCACGCGCTTTTCCACCGCCACCTCCATCTCAGAGAGCTGGCGCCGCAGCTGGCCGTCGCCGCCACCAGCAGCACTATCTACATCGCCGCTTCCGCCGCATTCGCCACCGCCACCTCCCACCAGCCACGCCCATCACCACCGCCGCCGCCAGCATCGTCGCGACGCCCCCAAGGCCGCCCACCACCCGCCACCCGCCACACGCATTCCACCCCCCCCTCGCCCGCCACACGTTTTTGTTGCTATGACGACGCGTCCTCGGCGTCCTCCTCATCGCCGCCTCCGCCCGGAACTGAACCTCACAGGGGGGCCCAATGGAAGCGTGCAGTATATACGCGTCGCGTAATCGAGTAAGTGCTCTTCGGCAGTCGCGCGTCACGCTCCGCCGACTGCCGCGAGCTGCCCAAGGTATCTTCGCGTCATGCAAGTCCGAGCGGCGCCATGACAACCGGTACCAGCTTCAATTTCTGTGTTTGCCAGTGGGCGTCGCGGTGCTATCCTCCTAATGCGAATGGTGCCCCCGTCCACACGCATGTCAGTCCAGCCGTGCGACGTAAACTGCGAGGCGTGTTGAAAGGAATGCAAACAAAAATAATTCTTCATGCTTCGTGCATCCCCACCAGCCCATTCAGAAGCCCTGCCCATGAGAGCTGACGGGAAAAGGGACAAAAAGACACATCTAGGGAACACACAGCGAGCAACCACCAGGATGAACCGAGAGATCTCTGGGAGCGAGGGGGTGGCCTTGGAAGGCCTCTTCGGGCCATCCCTGGGGGCCGCGTGGGGGCGAGGGGAAGAGGAGGAGGAGGAGCAGGAGGATGAGGACGAGGAGGAATAGAGGACGAGGACGCGGATGAGGACGAGGACGAGGAGGTCGAGGACTAGGATGAGGACGACGCGGACGAGGACTCATGGAACCATCTAGAGATATTCTTGCGGCTGCTCCTGCTGCTGCTGCTGCTGCTGCTGGTGCTCTCTGGGAGTTTTGGGGGCCCTCTTGGAACCCTCTTGGTAACCCTGGAAGGCTTCTTGGGATCATCTTGGAGGCCATCGATCACAGGGTGGGGGGGTCCCCAACTCAGGTCCCCCTCAGGAGCCCGCAGATCGCTTCTTGGGGCTCTCTTGAAGCGCTCTTGGAGCGGTCTGGGGGCCGTTTGGAGCATCTTGGGAGCCATCTTGAGCCAGCTGGGGCTGTCTGAGCCATCTTGGAGGTCATCTTAGGCTCGCTGAGGCCGCTCGGGGGCCTCTTGGGGGCCTCTCGGGTGCCTCTTGCGACCCTCTTGGGACCCTCTTGGAGCCTTTTTGTGGCTCTCTTGGGGCTCTCTTGGGAGCCCTGGAGCGTCTCTTGGGGCCATCTTGGGAGGGTATCGATCAAACGATGGGGTTCCTTTTATGTTGGTCCCCCCTCGGGTGCCACGATCCTCGTGAGGGGCCAAAATTTCGCCCTCCCAGGGGCCGAGAAAGGACCCTCCGACCACCCGCGACACCCCCAACAAAAAGTTCAGGGGAGGGGGTAGGGAGAAGGGCAAACCCCTCCCCGAAGGGGAAGAGGGTTTTTGGAAGAGGAAAGAACTAGTTTCATTAGACCACCTACGCCCAGAGGGCTGGTGGGACTCAACTGGTTCAGGCGCATCTGTGTCAACTTGTGCTTGCTTCCATCCTTCCCCCTCCTCGCGCTCTTGTCTGCTCCTCGTCGCGATGGGCCTCTCACCCCTCCCGAGGGGCGTGTTGGTATCGGGGGCGGCAAAGAGGGGGCTGATGACTAGGGGGGGGTGGATATCATGGCGTGGGCCATGATACTTCCCCAGATTTCATGGCGCCTCTTCTTATGTCATTACGTCCCTGGCCCCCCCTTGGGCCGCGCACGTGCCGCCGGCCATGATTCGCACCCCCCCCTCTTGGACGCCCCCCCCCCCGATGGTAGCACGATGGCTGCATTGCCGCGATGCTCGCTCCTCGCTGGGGCGGCCGGGGTGCCTGGGGAGGGGGGGGGGCAGCGGGAGCTGGAGCAGGGGCGGAGGGAGAGGAGAGGCGCGCAGGAGCGGAAGCATCGGCGAGATGAGAGAGAGGGGGGGGGGCATGCCTATATCAGTAAGTATACAGATACATCGGACAGAGAGAGAGAGGGAGAGTGTGAGAGGGAGAGAGAGAGATGCCAGAGGGATAAACAACAAAAGGTGGAGAGGGAGACAGAGCGAGAGGGAGAGCAAGGGAGAGAGAAAGAGAGTAAACACAAAATGTACTGGTGGACGTTGGGGGTGAGACCAAAGTGAAACGCAAGGTGCCCCCTCTGGGAAAGCGTTCCGTTTCTCAAGCAGTGGCGAAGCGTCCCGGCGTACCTACAGCCTTACCAAACAATGTTCTAAGAACATTTTGTGGTTTCCACGACATGTTCGTAGAACATGTCTGGCGGAGTCTGTCTTGTTTGAACACGTCGGGTCTATGTTGTAAGAACATTGTTTTTGTTCTTAGAACATTTTTGGGCTCTAAGAACATTTCGTGGTATGACTGTAGGAGTGTTGGGACGGTCGGTCCCTGCTCAAGTTTCGCGCCTGGCGCGCGTGCGGGCGAGGCGAAGACGCGCGAGTTCATGCCCTCGTGGGGGCCAAGCCAGACTAAATCTGGTCGCCCCGGGTCTGGGCCGTCGCCCCTTGTTGTCCGGATGGTTGTCCCGATGGTTGTCGAGATGGTTGTTCTGCTGCTGGTTGTCCCGCTGGTTGTTCCGATGGTTGTCTTGCTGGCTGTGCCGATGGGTCCCGCTGGCTGTCCCGATGGCTTTCCCGATAGGTGGCTGCCTCGATAGATTATTGTCTCGATAGACGGTTGTCCCTGTAGATGGTTCTGCCGGTTGTTGTCCCGATGGTTGTCCTGACGCGTGTCCCGATATGTGTCGCAATCGTTTTCTGTCTGGTTATTTTGATGCCTGACAAGTGGTTGTCCCGATGGTTGTCCCGATGGTTGTTTCCCGACGGCAATCTGGATGCTTGTCACGATGGTTGTCCCGTCGTTTGTCCCGATGGTTTTCTCGATTGTTGTCCCGATGGTTGCCTCGCTGTTTGTCCCGCTGGTTGTCCCGATGGCCTTCCCGATATGGGGCTGTCCTGATAGATGATTGTCTCGGTAGATGGCTGCCTCGACAGATGCTGGAGGGGAACCGCCACGCTGACCACTTAGAACCCTGGCTCAACTGCCAGACCCCCCCAGGGCCCCCTCTTCCCCGAAGCCCCTGGGGCCCTCCCCGCCCCCCCTGGGCCGTCTGGTCACTCCTCTGGGACCCCCTGCCTTCCCCGGCCTGGAGGCCCAGAGGAGCTACTAATAGTTGGCGCGATGTATAAGCCTGTTATACATCAGTTACAGCAGCTATCATGCTCGACCGATGTTTTGTCAGGGGAGGGACTCATACTCTGGAGTGCCTTGCATGTTGTGTGCGACATATTGGTCTGCATGTGATGATGCCAGAGAGCGGCAACTGCAATCCAGAAGATACAAGGCTTTGCGAAGCGCTTCCGAGCGTCCGCGCACAACATAACTCTCATACGCAAGTTGTGCGGTATCCGGCTGGCCAAATGAAAATAATGATGTTGCCGGTCCTCGTGAACATCGACGAGTACTTCAGCAAGTTTGTCGGCATGAGCTCTGGGTTGTGGTCATCGTCGATGTCGTGCCTGCTCCATCCCGCACACACCCACCGAGTTCCCAATCGCAACACCAGGCTGAGTGGCGTCGAGTGCGAGAGTGGTCACACTAGACATGGAACCAAACTTGCACGGCGGCGCAACTGCTACCATCTCCAAGCAAAACAACGTCACCTCTATTGAACAAGTTGTTGTAGTGGTCTGCTTTGTGTTGGAAACTGGTGGCTGCATCTGCGGACGCTGTCTCAGCATGTCGGGCAGGTTCTTGGATGAGGCAACTGATGCACACAATCCTGCTGCGAAACAAGACTGGGTTCAGATCGCCACGGTGCTGGGCTACGAGTTCAAGCCTCACGGCTTCTCTGGCCGCTTCATGCACACGTGGTCGCGCGAGAACCGCTTGACCATTTTGTGCGTTTTTTTGCTTGCAGGAAACACGACAGCAGCTAGAATTTGCAAAGCATATCTGGCATATGGGTGGCCATGCGGAACCTGTACGTCGAGCATGTAGTGCCGTAGGCCACTTGGTGCAGCCGCAGGTGCTCAACTACGCCTGCCGACAGCTCGTCGCAGCTGTCATCTTCGCCCTTGCACAGAGCGGTGAACGCGCCCAAGACGTCGCACAAAGCCAGGAGGCTCGAATTTTGGTCGGCGTCAGCCCTTGTGCTTGGAACGTTGGCAACCACCTCCCTGACGTACTGCGTGAGCACGGGGGCCGCGGACAGCGTCTCAGATGCACCCGCTTGGAGGTCGCTCGAAGCGAATGCCCGACGAGCACGTTGGACCCTCCTTTGGCCAAGCCCAATGTTGGAAATTCGCGCTGGTGTCATGACCGCTGCAAATACTTGCGGCCGCTGTGAAGGCAATGAGCGCGCTGACCTCCCCATCAACAATGCCGCCCGCAACGTATACGTGCATCTAAAAGAAACACATGCGCGTTATCACACCATGCCCCAGGTCGGGGTCCAACGCGATGTGCGTCGGTTGGTTGTTCCACCCTCTGAACTAAGTGAGTTGGCGGATTTTAGCATAAGATGTTCCACCACGACATATCGGTAATAGTGGGGGCGATTCCGGCTCAAGATCGCAGCGACGGTTGCGTTTGCGTTGGGTGTCAGTTTTTTTTTTGTCGAGTGAAGCGTCGGACGCGCACCAACCCGATGCATCACATAGGCGATGGCCGAACCAATGATTAATCATGTTCCTGTATATGGCGCACAGTTTCTTCCCTGCGTGGCTTTCGTTCATGTGAAGCTCTCGGAGCGCGTTGTCGTCCCCGATGGTGCGCTGTGGCCTCGCGACCAAGGTCGCGGAAGCCGAGCTTTCACCGAGGTCAGACATGTCTAGCGTGACTCTCCTGTAATCTTGAGATTGACTTCGCCAGCGGCGATGCTGAAACACAGTGTTTCGATGCCTTTTACCATCCGTTCCTTCAGACAATGAGTCGCGTGAGGAGAAGCCGTCGATGTAAAGTCAGATTCGACAAGGCTGGGCTGGAGTGCAAGAGTGCCTCTGCAGCTGCTGCCGCACCGTGGATCTAAACTGACTGCTTTCCTTACAGAACGCATGCAACATAGGCACAGGGTCACACGCTTTATTATCAAAGGATGTGCCACCCGCCAAGAGAGCATTGAAATGCGTTGCAGCGCGTGCCCACTTGGGGCTACCTCTTCGGATGCGGTCTCATGTGTTGCACGATCTTGATCAGTCCGCGTGATGGTGTCAGGCATCCCGCTGTCTTTGATATAATGCCATAGGTGGGCAAGCCCCCTCTTTGAAATTTAAGGCCCCCGGTGGATCTGGGACAGGAGATATGCGTCCGTCTTGCGACGTGTTCGCTACGACGACGCCGCGCCTTCGATTTGAGCCAGACTGGCTACCGATGGCGCTAGCAGGCAACACTCATTGCAACGCAACGCTTGCATCGCATAGGCACACCGCGCGGCACCCGACAGCTTCTGTCCAAGGGAGGGTAGGTGTTCCAACAGGGGCCATGGCTCTTGCGATGGTCCTGACTTGCATGCGGTGCTAGCTTGCTGGCATGGCTTGCGCTGCTTGTGCGGCTTGCCCAAAGGATTGCCAGTACGGCTATTTGATCGCGGCTTCGGCGACTGGTCCAATGCCAGTCACCCCCACCAGATGCGACCCGCATGTCACGCATGTGTTGCTTGATTGCGTGTACTTGCTGTCTTGGCAGAAGGAGAGGACGACGGGAATGCACAAGATAATAGTATTTGGTACATCGTCGGGATCGCGGAGGGGTCACGGGCACGGGTAGGTGGGAGGGGAAGGGAAAATGGACGGGGGGAAGAGGTGGAGTTGGAGGAAGGGGGGCAAGGGGAAGGGGTGTGATATCAAGAAGGAGGGAGGGAGGGGGAGGCGGAGTGGTTGAGAGGGAGATGCGAGGAGGAGTGTAGGTGCGGCGGGGGGGAGGAGGGAAAAGGAGGAGTAAGTAGGAAGAGCAGTAGGAGGAGGAGCAGGAGGAGGAGGATGAGGAACAAGAGGGGAAGAAAACGAGGCGAAGGAGGCGAAGCAGGAACAGCAGGCACCGTCCCTTCCAGCGCGAGCCCGCAATCAGGAGGTCCTGGTGCAGACGAAGCAGGCCGACCCTCACGGCAAAGAGACCATCCTCAACCGCCTGCCTGGTGATTGGGGCGAAGCTGCGGATCTCCTCTCCCTCCTCCCCCCTCTCCTCTTCAGACCCCGTCGAGTTGAGCCAAAGCGCGAAGGGAAGATTTCGAATGTTTCGGTTGTGACCCCCCTCATCCCCGCCCCCCCCCCCGTGACAACCAGCTGTTCCCGAGGACGGCGTCGAAACCTCTCGAAGTTCGCGCTGCGAGGATAGAAAGAGCGCGCCAGCATCGCAACTACTCTAGCTTGTGTGGACCTGTGGTAGGTCTATTTGCTCTCTGGGCGTTGTACAGAAGGTTTGAAGACTGGCCCACGGCCTTTTCACAGCTCAGCGGAAAAGCAAATATGAACAGTTTAGCAGCTTTGGACGCAACAGTGACTGTCTTGCGAGAGAATATGCCCGATCACGACACACAGCAACGGGAACAATACAGCCTGCTTAAGATTTCTCAGCGAGTCGGCTTCGAGAATGGAAGCATGTGTGCGGGGCTCGGCGTTCTTTTGTGCGGAGTCGTTGTCCGAGCGCTTGGCTGAGCATGTAACCTTGTTCCGTGTGCGGCGGTTCCTATTCGAGCGACCATTTGGACCATTTGTCTGCATTAGGGTTGCGAGGATTGAGATTGAGGCCATCATCGTGAACATCGAGCGGAGTTTGCTTCGATTCCTTGGGCCAGGTACTTGTACTTCAAACCTTTCGCTTCAGTGTCGCTCTCGCGCACCCAGCGGGCGGCCGTGCGGAAAGCCAGCGAGAAGCGGAGCGGACGTGCTACCTCGGGGGGGGGGGCGAGCCACCGTTCCTCCTACGCGGCGGTGCATGATTTGTCCTGCAGTCCATGGCGTCGTGAGAGTCCGTCTCTCTGCTCACTTTGGCCGGCAATCGAGGCGGGGCAAACTGCAGCAAGAGGAGGAGGAGGAGGAGGAGGAGGAGGAACGAGGACGAGGCCAAGGGAGGAGGAGGGAGGTAGAAGGAGGAGGAGGAGGAGGAGGAGGAGGAGGAGGAGGAGGAGGGAAAGGAGGAGGAGGAGGAGGAGGAGGCCGACGGCCGTCGAGCAGCGGCGGGCGCGCGACGGGGCACGGGATGGCACGGGGCGAGGCAGGGCGCCCTGTGGCGCGGGGAGGCCAGAGGAGGGCCGACGGGGGCGGGGAGCCACAGGCAGGCCATGGACTCGGCATCGCTCGGACGTGTGCATTGCTTTCCTCGGCGGGGACCATCGAGGAGCATCCTTGATCCTTTGGCGAAGCAGCCACGCACGAAGCCGACAAAAAAACACAGGGAGTGGACGTCCGAGCAGCGGCGGGGCGCGACGGGGCACAGAAAGGCACGGGCGAGGCAGGCGCGCCGTGGCGCGGGGAGGCCAGGAGGGCCGACGGGGGCGGGGAGCCACAGTCAGGCCATGGAGGACTTCGTGTGCGCACCGAAGGGGCAAGTACCAAACTGCATACGGTAGGTTCGCGTCGTGTCGACCAGCGGCGACCCCAGCGCGGGCGTTCAAGGTTGAACGCCGACGGCGGCCCAGAATCGATCGATGTTGAACATTTGGACGTTGCGGCAGCGGCCGATCGTTCAAGGTTGAACGATCCCCGCGGTGTCAGAAACCAACGCCGAAGTCGGCACGACACGGACCTGCAGTACCAAACTGCATACACATAATGGAGGATGACGATTCATAAATGACCGGGGGTCGTGTTCACGCGGCGGCGCCCAGGATGAGGATTAGAAAAAACCGGCCGCGGGCTGGAAAACTATGTTTTAATCGTTCTCCTCCAGTCAGAAATTTGTGCAGACATCGCAGAAAATTATGTTTTTTCCATCGTTCTCTCAAATTTTTTAATTAATCGTCATCCCGCATCAAGCTTTCGGAGCTCTGGCTCCGACAATCTATGCTCATGCCGTGCGTGGTTCCTCTATATCGCTCGGGCTGGGCAGGGCCAGCGGCAGCCTGCGGCGCGCCGTCCGTGTGGCGCAGGGCCAGGCACGTCTCGCGGCACGGGGGCTTCCAGACAAAACGCAGCAGCCAAGCCGACTGGACCTGGTGTCCTGGCAGTGTTCGTTGTGATCAGACCACATCACACCAGAGGATATATTAACCAAGCATGGCCGCTAGGATTGCTTGAGAAAAAAAAGTCTCGCGGCAGGGGGGCTTGTCCCGGGAAGGTCGCGCAGTGGTGCTAAGATCTGGCGAGAGCATGTTGGCGACGAAAAAAAAGGTGTCGTTTTCACCGTCATTGGCGCGCAAGCTGCCCGCGAAAGGTCGTGCGTCATAGCCTCCGTTTCCAATTCACCCTGCCGCGCTGGCGGCCCGCGTAAGCCACCGCGTAACGGTGCAACGTTATCTCGCGTAAGAGCCCGTCTCTTTTCGTCGTTCATGTTGACATCCCGATTTGCAAGGCGCCTTTCGGCTTCGCTTTCAATTGCGGACTCCGCGCAGATTTCTTGGTTCAGCGCTGGAACCGGTGCCCCTGGCGCTCAGAGCGCGCCGGGGAGGAGCTGCAACGCAGATCCAAGACATCCGCGCAGACCTCCGACAGCTTATGTTTACGCAGTTGGTTATTCCTCCTGATCTGGTTGTCGTGGCGGTCCTTAGATCCATGTCAGGGAAAGTGTCCGTAACCAATATTCGCTGCGGCCTGAACAAATATTTTCGCTTCTTGTCTTGAGCTACTCATGGTAGCACGGTGGCTGTATGAGCACTCCAGCCAATTATTGCGCGATGAACTCCACTGTTTTCATCAGCGTCCGCGACAAGAGCATTACCACCAGCATCTGTGGGCACCCTTCGTCTCCTCATCTCCCTATGTCGCTTCATTCGTTAGTTTTAAGCATTTGTTTTGCATGTTTGAAATAGGAGGGAAGGATTCCAGGGAGGATGACCGTACAATCTCACAGAGTGGGGGGTCCAAACAGAGGTACATGAATTTGATGATGAGGAGGATGGGGAGGAAGAGGGGGAGGAGACGGAGGAGGAGGAGGAGGAGGAGGAGGAGGAGGAGGAGGAGGACGAGGAGGAGGAGGAGGAGGAGGGGGAGGGGGGGGAGGGGGAGGTGGAGGAGGAGGAGGAGGAGCAGGGGAGCAATAGGGGAGTGGGCACAGCCCGCTGGCCCGCCTCCAGTCAGCATCTTATACTCTCGCTGAGCCACCCTTCATCTCCCTCAGTGCCTGTTCCCCTTTGTGTCTCCTACGAACAGCCACGTGGGAGAAGGAGTGAAGTGGCAGTGGGCAATGCGGGTCGCGGAACAACATATCAAAACCTGTCCCAACAGGCGTCCAGCTACCACCCTGCATATCCTGTATGCGGCAGGCTGCAGGACTCGCTGAGCCGCCGGCAGACTGGCGGGGGACCCACCGCAGACTCCGAAGATGGGCGGCGCCGGCACCGCAGCCCGTGCGGCAAGCAGGTCGCCAGCGCCACCTCCCAAAGCCTTTACGGAGTCTCGGTGGATTTCCCCCGTCTGCCAGGGAAAGCCCGCGGCGGCCGCAACCGCTGGCGGAATGAGTTCGAAAGGAAGTGCGAAGCGGAACGTGAGGGGAGGAGGGGAACGGAGAAACAGGGAGGGGGAAGAGGAGGTGGAGGAAGAGCATGAGGAAGATAGTCCAGATGTGTAAAGGATTTGGAGAAACAGCAGGGGGAGAAGGGATGAGGAACAGAACCTCATCCTCATCCTTCTCCATCTCCTCCCTCCCTCCTCCTGCCCTCCCGTTCCTCCTTCCTTGTTTTTACCCCTGCTCTCCCTCCCTCCCTCCCTCTTCCTCCGCCACCTCCCTATCTCGTTCCCTCATTCCCTCATCCTTCCTCGCTCCTCACTTGCGAGTAAATGGGGGCTGGGAAGGATGGTGCGGAGGTCCTGCTCCTCATACCTTCTCCTTGTTGTTCTTTCAAATCCTTCTCTTCCTCCTCCTTCTCCGCCCCCCTATTTTTAACGTTGGGTGGACATTGAGGACAGGCTGGTTGCGTCCTTCGAGGGAAAAAGGCGGGAGCGCCGACTTCGGGAGAGGGGCCAAACTATTTTGTGTTTTGGACGGGTGCAAATCAGGAGGTGCAGCGAGAAGAATAAATAATAATTGCCCGACAAGACAGGAGCAACCTAGTCCGCGGTAAGTAGTGCATTGTATGGAGGAAGGGGCAACCATACAATATACAACCTTCCTGATCAAGAGGGATACGACGAATGAGTTGGAGTCTAGCTGCAGTTGCAGGCGGTAGCGCTGGTGCAATAGCTGAGGCAGGTCGTGACCAATTCTGCCTTGTGGAACGAAAGAGTCTGCTGTAGATTGTGGCAACCCCGTCTACCATCCAACCGATGACAACCAGGCCTCCGCCACCGCCAACAAAATGCAAGTTATCGAAATAATAATCGGTGCGTGCAGGTTGGCACGAGTCATATTGGCTGGCCTGAGAGCGGTCGGCTGTGTCGCAACGAGCTGGTGAAGTGAGGGCTTGAAGTGGTTGAATAGAAGTACCAAGTACTACTTGGTACTGCTATACGTCCACTTCCTCCCGACAACTGTCTTCCCTACAGTAGGGGAGAGGCAGTTGTCGCGAGAAAAGTCGGATGTGCCCTTTGATGTGGGTCTTTCCCCTGACGACTGGCCAAAATGTTCACGATAAGCTTCCCACAAGTAGGCTTCTGCTGCGGGGGCTGACGGGATCAAACTGGCAAGCAGACCCCAACCCCCGCAGGGATTCCGGCGGCATTGGACAGCGCGTTGGTAATATTAGGTTGGCACTGCCAGTGCAGGTTGGCCAAGTGCGTTTCAACTGTAGCAAGAAAGACAGGGTGTGCGTCATAGAGTTATCAAGTCAAATGGGCATTCCATGCTGCCGTCTTTTCGTCTTCGGCTAGCACTGTCACTGCAGATTGGCCTAGGTAAGTTGCCATTTGGATTCGCACGCTGCAAGTGATCATAACATATGCATTTGGCTGGCTTTGCAAATGCAGGCTGACATGGTTGGAATATGCTTTCTTAGTCTTGCATAGACACTGCTGGTTACCCTCCCCTCCGCAAATGACACGCCATCCCCGGAAAACATGCTGGCGCAGCATGTGGTTGAAATTGCAATTATGGCATACGACTGCACTGGCAAGTGCAATGGTTGAAATGATGTTGGTCATCCTGCTCCTAATCCTCCTCCTCCTCCTTTTCTCCTCCACGCCTCCACCGCTACCCACTAATGTAGGCTGGCCTGTCGATGATAGCTGCGGGCATTAAAGCAGTGCGCTGGGGGTGGTTCTAATACTGAGGTGGCCGTGTGCTGGCACAGGCAGTGCTGGCCGGCTTACGACGCGATTGACCTGCAAGAGTACAGGCTTGATACGAGTGTAAGGCTGGCACAGTAGCGGCTGGCATCCATAGTGAATTCGATGTTAGATGGTGATGCTAGAGCGTTATAGCGTTGAAGTGAAAGGGCATATCTTCCTTACCCCACCCCGTGTTGCCCCCACGATACGCCCTCCCCACTCCTCCAGTACGTGTGGCATGGTCGGCGCTGACTGCAAATGAGTCAAGGCCAGCCATAGCAGGCCAGCCTGTAGGTCTGAAAATATTTACCTGTGAGAGAAATGCAACTATCTGCGGACTCTCGTAGTCGTAATATTGCGACGCAGATGTGGGGAACGTGCCAGAATCAATCACCCCCCAAGATGATCCCATCCCACCTCCCAACACATCCACAAAGTGAGGTACGAGATGCTCGCGAGGCAGCAGAAGACGGCAGTAATGCCGATCCGCACATCGCTAGCTCCCTGACGCAGCAGACTTCCCCATCCTCCACCTCCTACTCTATAGCATGTTCCTCCTCCTCCTCCACCTCCTCCTCCCCCCCTCCTCAGTCCTTGCCCCTTCCTCTTCCGCCTCCCTCCTGCCCTCGCTCCCTCACCCTCCTCTCCTCGCTCCTCACTGGGCAGCAGAAGGGGGGGGGGTAAGGTGGCTGGAGAGGGCGTTTGGGAGGGGGGGGTCGATAGGGCGCCCGGGCAGGCGCCAAGCGCCGGCCCGACGAGAACCAGTTCCTCAGCGCCCGCCGCATCATCCGGAGGCAGCTGGAGATGGACGAGAATCAGGCGCGGGCCGCCGCCACCCCGCCCCCGCTCCTGAGAGGGAGGAGCTGCACCAGCACGTCATCTCGGAGGTCCCTACGGGATGCTCTCAGCGCTGGACCCCCACCTCCTCTATCTGCGACGAGGTCACAACGGGCGGTTTCTGGCCATCTTTGGCTTTCGGTCGCCCTCATCCGGCCCCTGGGCCGTCTAACACTTTCTTCGGAGTGAAGAACCGGTCCTGGGGAAGGGGTCCAGACCTGTCGGGGTTCCACGTTGAGGTACACTCGCGACGTTTGAGTTCTGGGGGCCCTTCTTGCACGCTCCGCGCCCTAAGGAGGCGGTTCCAGCGCCGATCGCAGAATTTTGCGCGGATCTCCGAAAGGATAGCCTAGCGTGTCGCTCTGCCTGCTGAGGCCCACCACGCGTTGGTGCGATACGATATCCACGGTCCAGTCCCCAAGCGTCAACGCCCCGAGCTCTCCCCGGCCTCCAGTCACACGGAGCGAAATGACACGCTATCCATTTGCAGGGCACAGCGCATCGTCGTGGCCACCGTCGCGGCCTGTTTTAAAACAGAGCGTCGCCGCAGTTTTCGTGCCGACGTGTCTTTCTGTCAGCCCCTGGGAGGGGGCAGGCCGTCGGGCTCAGCCTCAGCACGTCGGATGCACGCCGTCCTCGAAAGTCTGGCGCGCGCGCGCGCGCCCCACCCACGCCAGTCGCAGGCCTCCTTCCTGCTTGAAGGGTGAGGGGGAGCGTTTGGGGGGAACTGGCTCAGGGGGGAACAGCGAATCCGCACGTTCCTGCGCGGGGTGGGCTATCGGCGATCAATGGGCGATTGGGGGTCGATGCGTCCCCCCCCCCTGAACCTGTTCCCCCTGGCGTTGCCCGCCGCCTTGGGTGCCTGTCTAGGCTGCGTTGCTGCCCTCCTGGAGCGGTTCACGGCCTTCTTGGGGCCCTCATGGGAGCCCCTTGGGCGATCTTTGGGTCCTCTTGGGCCGACTGAGGGCCCTCTTGGGGACCTCCTGGGCTGTCTTGGTGCTTTCTTAGAGGCCTCTTGGAAGCCTCTTGGGCCGTCTTGGATGCTTGGAAGCCCGAACAGTCGAGAACCTCAACATCCTTCAAACACTACGGCGAAATCAATGGTTTTGGCCCCCTTAGGCTTTCCAGGAAGGCCTCTTGGAGCTCTCTCGGGCCGTCGTGGGGGCCCCCTGGGCCGTCTTGCGGCTCTCCTGGGCTATCCTGAGCCGTCTTGAGGCTCGCTTGAGAGGCTCTTGAGCTGTATTGGGCCATCTTGAGCCGTTTTGTTGTCGTCTTCGTTGCCTTGGAAGCCGTCTTGGAGGCCCTCTTGGCCGCGTGGAGGCCGAACAGAGCGCTGGGGAAAACATCGAACAAACACTCCCAGGGGGACCAGAGGAGCATCCGAACACGCCCACTCCGCGCAGGCACGGTGACGGATATACGCATGCTGGTAGTCTGCATCCACGGCGTGCTTCTGGCGAGTTGTACGGCGCCAGGACCTCCGGGCTCGCAGAGACGAGTCTGGAGGCCTGTCGTGGCAGAGCCGCCTGGGCAGTGACCTGGGCGCGCCGCGATATGGGCACCTGTTGTGCGGTGTGATTCTCCGCAGACGCCAAAGCCTCATGGTTGGGCAAGCGAGGCGCAACAACTGCTGGCAGTAGCACATGCGTATCGAAGGGCGGAGATTGTGAACGAGGTGACCCCAACTGGGAAATCGGTTTCGGCGTCGGCTCGTGTCGCGCGTGCGGGCGGGGCGAGGCTGCGCGAGGACAGCGATGTGCCAGCGCAGCTAGAGCCAAGCCGCACAACAGGTTCCTCACATCCATTTTCGCGGTTTCTCGTCGTTTTTGTCCCACCACTGTTGTCCCGTCCTTGTCCCGCGATTGTTTCATGGGTTGTCCCGTTGTTGTCATGTGGATTGTCGCCAGTCGTTGTCCCGCGGTTGTCCCAGGGGGTGTCTTTCCAGTCGTTGTCCCGTGGTTTGTCTTGTGGGAGTCGCAAGGGCAAGGTGTAAGCCTGGTTTTGAACTTGCTGTAATCCGAAAGGCAAATCGGATTGCACGTCGAATTGCACATCGAGCTGCATGCCAACATGAAAATTGGAATGCAGAACGAAACTCGAGTTGATATATATATATATATATATATATGTATAGCTATCCAATTGTAGTCGAAATGCAAGCCCGCCTTGCAATCGGAATGCGCACGATAATGCAATTCGGAGCGAAATCGAAATGCACAGTGACATGCAACGCCGAAATTGAAGTTGGATGCGGAGCGCATGCTCGAATGCCAGCACACAAAGGTTTACCTATCATCTGCGTACATAACTGTGCATATGCGTCTCCATCTCTAAGTGTGCCCATGTCTGTGGCTGCATTGAAACGTTTATGCGTGTGCGCCAGAGTGTGTGCGTCTGCGTACGTGGCCCATGCGTCTCAACCAGCCTTACATATACAGACATATAGACAGCTTCCGTGTGCGTGTTTATCTACGCGTGTGTCTTTGTTTTAGTCTGTTGACTTCTGGTCATCGTCTCTGGCCACTTGCATTTGAATTTCCTCATGCGTCTGTCTACATGTTTATCCCAGTGCGTCTCTCTGTGTCTGCCCCCCTTGTGCCTGTCCGTGTCATGCGTTGCTATATATTATGTGTCTGCCCTGCCCTTCCGTTAGGCCCCGCTTTGCCCCAGCCCGTCGTTCTTGTGCTGCGACCTGCCCGCCCGCTTGCCCACCTCCCCGTCTTGCCATGTCCGTATCTGCCCGTCTGTCGTTGTCCTTTTCCTGTCGGTAACTTGATTGCCCCGAGCCTGACTCGTGCCCGCCTGCCCTTAGCTGCCTTGGTACGCCCGTTAAGAAACGAAACACGTAGCGCGTTCAAGACGTCCGTGTCAACATGCTGCATGTTGATTCGGCACCTGTTGGGCATTTGTTGGGCGTATCGCGCCAGACCTTCGTTTTCAGTCGACGTGTTCAGCTCCGTGCCAACACGCCCTTGGTGGCCGACGCGCCTGCCTGCATGCCCTCTGCGCCTGTCGAGATCGGGCGGCTTGGCTGCCTGGCTTCTCTGCGCCCTGCCCGGGATGCCCGCCCGGCTGCCTCCTCATGCGCGCCCGCCTGTCTTGCTTGCCTGGCCCTGCCAGCCGGTCTGCCCCTCTGTCCGTGCGCCCGGCTGGCTGGGCGGCGGAGTCCGAGCCCTACCCTCGCCGAGCCACGATTCGGGCAACTCTTTGGGCGGCGGGGGCAGGGCTCGGAGGTCGGCGAGCACGTGGCGAAGCCCGAAGCCCCACCCCCGCCCCCCCCATCGATTCGGGAGGGTCGACGGCTGGTGGGGGTGCAGCCGAGACGCTGAAGTGACGGGGCATTGTCTCTGGGTGGAGGGCAGAGGGCGAAAGCTGCAAATGCCGTCTCGACTGATGTTCGACGCTTGATTCTGCAAGCGGTGCATCACATGACGGATTGATTTTCGAGGTGCGCAAGCCCATATGGATTTCACCCTGAGCCCTCCACCCTAAGAAAACGCTCTGAGTACAGTCGCGTGCGGATCATGTATAAAAAATGCAGGGCTTTAGGATTAAAAGCAACGACGAGTTCATGCATACATTCATTCACACATTAATCATGTATTAAAATCAGATATGCCTGAAAATCATATTATTAAAAATTAATGTTCCTAAATAAGATAATGTATCAAAACACCCATTTTCCTAAATTCATCATGCATTAAGCTCCTATATGCTTTGAAATCATATGTATTAGAAACTGCCCTGTAAGGACCACTCTGGGCTCGGGAGGGGCCCTGGCCTCCGGGCCGCTCTTCGACCGAGGTCGCGGGGAGAGCGCCCGTCCGTGGCCGAGAGGCTCGTCGCGGCCACTGAGCGGCCTCGCTCGGCCCTCGGCGCTCCCCGCCTGGCAGCACGACGGCTGCAGGGCTCGGCTGTCGCCACCTGCCGGCATCATGCCTCCCCGCTTGCCCTTCGGCTGGCCGCCCCCCCCCCCCCCCCCACGTCCCCCCTGACCTTCCAGGAGGGCTAAAAATAGCACCAGGACGTCGACGTCCTAATTCCTGCCGAGGTTTGAGGCAGTCCAGATAGATCTATAGGTCTTGAGTGCTATTTTTTAGCGCTCTGTAAGGTCAGGGCCCTCCGCTCCCTGCCCCCCGCCCTCCCCTCGTTCACGCCCAGGCCCTGCACAGCTCTCAGCTCCGAGCTGGGGGTGGGCCTCAGTGGCCCGCAGCACCGCTGCCTTACTCGCCGCCTTCCAACAATCCTCGGCGTTTTCTGCGCGTCGGAGAACGCAGGGGACGGGCGCACAGGAGGACGCAGACGACCTCGTCCGTCCCCTGCGTTCTCCGACGCGCAGAACGCCGAGGATGGCAGGCAGGCGGCGAGCAGGGCAGCGGTGCGGCTGGCCACTGAGGCCTCCCAGCTCAGAGCCGAAAGCTGTGCAGGGCCTGGGCGCAAATGAGGGGAGGGCGGAGCGGGGGGGCAGGGACCGGAGAGGGCGTGGGGGGGGGGGCGCCGACGGCCGACAGAGGGGTGGAGGTGAGGTTGGGCGCATCGGGGCCTCTTCTGCCTGGGATCGCCTCGTGTTCGTGCCGCTCTGTTCGCCGTCGGCCGTCCATCCCCCACTTCTCCTTCTCCTTTTCTCCTCCTCCTCCTTTTCCTCCTCCTCCTCCTCCTCCTCCTTTTCTCCTCCTCCTCCTCCTCCTTTTCCTCCTCCTCCTCCTCCTCCTCCTCCTCCTCGTGCCGCTTTGTTCGCTTTGTTCTCCTCCTCTCGGTGCCGCCCACCAGGGGAGGGAAGACCGCCCCGACCCCCTTCCTTTGACGTTGACTGAGCGGCCCCAGCCCGTTTTTCTGAACAGCCCTGCCCTCGTCGATTCCTTCTCTTGGTACGCTTCCTGAACGGCTCTGCTTCTCAGGGAGATCAAAATGAGGGTGGTGCTTCCGCTCTCTAGTCAAGGATCCCACCAACGGTCTTCGGCGGCATCGCCCTGTCCGTCCAGTCTCTCGCTCGCGCTCCTGCTGCTGCTCCGCGGCGTCTTGCTCCTTCGGCTGCGCCTCCTGGCAGAGCCTGCCGGGGGCCGCTGGTCAGGTGGTCTTCGACGAGAACGTCAAGCACGTCGAGGAGGACAAGGCGTCCAACACCTACCCCGGGAGGGGTGCTGGGGGCAGGGCGCGCCGCACCGGTGCCGCCAGGCGGGGGCAGAACACACGGCGTCGCGTTACTTTCCCGCGATCCTGCATCCCAGTATTGGCCTGCTGCCGCAGAGTGGCAGCTTCGACAAGCCACTGCTCGCAGGACGGCTACTCTGCGAGGCCTGACGCTTCGATTCTGTTCGTCGGCATGGCGTCTGAGGCAGCTTATTGGCTTCACGATGGCGTCGCCCGGCTGGTCGTCGTGCTAGGGGTCAGCACGGAGAGAGCACGGAGAGAGGCAATCCCAGAGGAAAGGGGTCCCGGAGGTCCTTCGCATGCGTCCGCGTGCTGCCAGAGGTGCCCCTGGCCCGAGGTGCCCCCTGGATTTCACGACCTCGGATCACCCCTCGCGAGGCCCTGGGGGCCTGGGGGCCCGTGGGGCTGCTGTGTCCGCTTCTTGGTATCGCTCGGACGTGTGCATTTTTCCTCCGGCGAGGACCATCGAGGAGCATCCCTGACCATCTGGCGAAAAAGCCACGCACGAAACCGGAAAAAGCACAGGGGATGGACGTCCGAGCGATGGCCAGGCTTCCGCTCCTCCGCCAAGTCACCGCGCTGGGGCACGAGAGGGGTGGCGGAGACGGGGCGAGGACGTGGGCTCGAGGCGCGCGGGCGAGTGCCTCGCTGCCCCCGCCTCCGACCTCCCCTCGCGTGCCTCTCCGCCCGATGCAGGCCACGCCAGCGCCATCGGGCGGAATCCTGGCGGGCGTGCCCGTCGGTCGTTGAAATCGGGGGCGGAAAAGAGGGGGGTGATGACTAGGGGGGGATATCATGGCGGGGGCCATGATATTTCGCCAGATTTCATGGCGCCTCGTCTTATTCCATTACGTCTCTGGCCCCCCCGCTGGGCCGCGCACATGCCGCCGGTCATGATTTGCGCCCCCCCCTCTTGGACACCCCCCTCTTGGCCGCTCCCGATCCTGGCGGGCGTACCCGTCGGTCGTTGAAAGCAGGTATTCTTGGAGTTTGGGGTCCCACTCCACTTCAGGAACCTTCCGACTGCAAGTGATCGATTGGTGTCACCTTTTCCGTCTTCTTTAGGGCGCGGGCGGAAGCCCGAATCTGCTTGCATCGCCCTCCTACTTCATGGTTCTGTCCACTTCTTCCGACCGACGGGTCATCCTGGTTGGCTTAATAGCCCCTTGAACTGGCTCAATAGCCCTTGATACTTACTACGGCGACGTCCCAGGAGTTGCTTCCTACCTTCTGTCCGCTGCTCGTCCCGCACCTAGCAGCACGGACTCTGCCCACGCAGTAGTTGCGTGCTCCGCTGATTTTTGTCCGCGACGTCCTGCTCGCTGCGATTCTGGCCCGTCTGAAGGAAAGCTTGAGCTGGCTCCAGCTTGACCGCAGTAAGCTTGACGCTGTCAGGGTAGAGAAGCGTAGAAGGCCGACCCTTGCTACCCAGCAGCTCTGTTTCGAAACGGTCTTGCATCCGTTGGCAGCCCGAATCTATTCCTGCCGCCTTGCTGAGAACGAGAGCGCGCAGAAGCAGTACGACTTGCTTCAACACCACTGTTCCACTACGTATCCACGCCACGCCGCTAACCGCAGCCCGCTAGTTAACATCATGCGTTATACGAGTCAAGAAGGCCGTTTTTCCAGGTTCGTCTCGCACATGGTACCAGTCGTCATGTGTAGTAGTAGTTCAGCTGCAGCCATACTACGTATCGTAGATCAAAGCGTGCGCGTCCAATGTCATCGGAAATCCCCCGAGGGATGGTGCAGAGGATGAGTGTGCAGAGTGTATAGCATGTGCTCGATTTGTTACGGGCGACGCAGACCGCAAGGCAGAATGCTTCTGAGGTGAAGCCGAGCTCGAAATCTACGCATCGGCGCAAGAGAGAAAGTCGTTCAAGGAAAGAGCAACCGTTCGAGGAAGGATCGGCCATGACGCACGTGAGCACGGTTGGCGTATATTGAACGGAGCTCAAGGACGCACCGCTCATAGGAGGAGAGACTGTAATACCGCCTCCAATCTGACGAGGATAGGGAGGAGGCGGGCTACCATTAGGACGAATGACGACCTGCAGAAACTTGGTTGGGGCTTCCCTGGGGGATGAAAATGCAGAGTGCTCGTTGTGCCGACGAGGCGATTGCGAGTAAAAGGGTGTGCTGGCAGACTGAATGTTTGACGCATTGCGACCTTGCCGAACAGGACTCCCGCATGCAGTACACGGTCTCTTGCTTACACATGGGCCAAAGCAAGGGGCGTCCAATCCGTTGAGCGTGCCCAGAGGATGATTGAAAGTGTTTTGGACATTGAGCTTGCAAGTAATCTTATATGCTAGGCGTCAATAATTACAACTTAGCCGGCGAAAAGACAAATCATTGAGACGGACAAATCATTGAGACGGGCATCAACGAGTCGATCACCATACGACCCGATGAGTCCATTGGGCACAGGGGGTTCTAGGAAGAGTCTGGCCGCCCTCAGCGATGACGGCGTTCAAAAAGGACAAGGCATTTGTTTTTGGCGAATAGATCTCACAGCGAATGTCCGAGGCGACGGCGACGACTTCAAAGAATTGGCAGTCGCACTCCAACATAGCAAGGCAAACGTAGCACAACTCAGCTCGCCTGCACAACGCGCAGCGAACACTTTGTGCTTTGTACGTAGCGGAGCATGCCCATTGCCGCACGAGTGGAGGCCATTACAGGTCTGATTCACTTCATAACTGCAGCCAGGGTCAAGTGAACGACAAAGGAGACCAACACTACCACACGCTAGACTGGCAACACCCTGCCTTGCATAGGCGACGACGGTGCATTGTGCCGTGTTGCGCTTCAGATCTTGGCAGCAGGTTGAGTGTCCAGATGGCTCCTGAGTTAACGTGATGGCCACGTGGTCGCTGGTGGGATGTCTGGCTGATCTCCATCATCGGCGGCGAGCAAGGGGGGAAGTGAGAAGGAAGAGGCCTTCTCAGAAGGCGGCGGGACTTCTGAGAAGCCCTCGCGCCTGTGGGAAGGCCTGAGAAGCCTTCGCGCCTTTTGAAACGTTTTCTGCGTCCTCTGGGAAGGCTTAGAACACTTCTCAGAAGGCCAGGGGATTTCCGAGCCTTCTGAGAAGGCTGTTTCCTTCTCACTTCCCCCCCCTCGCTCGCTGCACGCACCACGCACAGTTCAGAGTAAGCCTTCGCAACTTTGGGTTTTGACCAGTGGATTGACATTCAGGAACGCAGGAAACTGGAGTGGGTTCGGAGGATCTCAAATTGCAGCCCGGACCGATGGATTTACAGAGCGTATCACTGTGGCCCTCAGGCTTGCCACCTCGCAAGCGGCGGCCGCACGGGCCTCGAAAACGACGGGCTGATGCAATGGGGAGGCTGCCGCTGCGGGGCTGCACTCGGCTGCGCGTGAGGAGGTCGCCGCCGTCGCCGTCGTCGTCGTCGTCGTCGTCGTCGTCGTCGTCGTCGTCGTCATCGCTGGAGCAGCGAGCACATCGAGTCGTCACCGCTGGAGGCGGGGGCCACGGCCCCGCCGCCGACCTCTTCTTGGGGGGCGCCCCGGGCGCGCGCACGGAGCGGCAGGGGCGCTCGGCCCTCGCCCTCGCCCGCTGCCGACATGCTGCTGGGGAGGCCTCCCCCTCCCCCTCCCCCTCCTCCTCCTCCTCCTCCTCCTCCTCCTCCTCCTCCTCCTCCTCCTCCTCCTCCTCCTCCTCCTCCTCCTCCTCCTCCCGTCCTCCTCCTCTCCCTCCTCCTCCTCCTCCTGCTCCTCCTCCTCCTCCTCCTTCTCCTCCTCCTCCTCCTCCAGCGTCCCGGGCCGCCGAGGGGAAGAAACACACAGACACAATGCATCGTCGGTTCCCCAGGAGAATGTGGGAAAATATGGGCAGTGGGGGGAAGACAGGAACCCAGAACACATGGGAAAATATGGGGAATCTTTTGATGTGTGTGTGTGTGTGTGTTTATTTGTGTGTGTGTGTGTGTGTTTCTTTGTGTGTCCCAGGGCCCCTTCCGTCGGCGTCCTCGGGGGCACGACGCCGACCTCCGCCAGCTCTCCTGGGGCTCCGAGGGGCCGAGCGCTCCCCGCACTCCCCGCTCCCCCCCCCGCCCCTCCGAGCGCTGCGCCGACGACGGGTGCTCGCTGCGGTCGGACCGAAGGAGGAGGAGGAGGAGGAGGAGGAGGAGGAGGAGGAGGAGGAGGAGGAATGGGATCGAGGTCGGTGTTCGGGGAGGGTGCCCGAGTGCTCCTCGCGTGTCTCCTGGGTGCTCCTGTGCATCCGGGGTCGAGGAGGGCACTCTCGAGTGTTCTGCAGCCTGGGCCGGCGGAGGCGCTCCTCGCGTCCTTGCGGGGAAGGCTCTTTTGCCCCAGGTCCCCGGCTGCACCGCGCACACTTATCAGCGCGGAGGGCACCAGCTATACACCTTAAGCGATGCTTAAGAAAACCCAAGTTTTCGGCCAGAGTCTCGATTATTCTTAATGTTTCAATGTAAATCCTAAGATTTGAATGGAAATTTTGGGTTTTTATTCAAGTTCTGAGACTATGAATTTCTTAACCCATGATTTCTTAAGCATTTCGCAGGGTGTACACCTACACCGATCTTGCCCAGGCCAATCCTGCGCCCAGGATCGGTGCATATGCCTTCCTGCCCCAGGCAGGAGGGCGTGTACACCGATCCTGGGCCCAGGGTGATCCTGGCCAGGATCGGTGTTGGTGTGTAGTTGGTGCCCTCCTGATCAGCGCTCGATGCTCTTATTTCTCTTCTCCTCCGATTTCCCAGCGGGCGGACAGATCCCAGAGAGCCCGAGAAGACAATGCGGCTCAGGTGCGGCAAGTTGGCGTCGTGTCGACCGGCGTCGACCCCGCCGCTGGCGGTCAACGTGGACGCCGCTGGCGACCCAGAGTCGGTCGATGTTGAACGATCTGACGTCTCGGAAACGGCCCATCGTTCAAGGTTGAGCGTTCCCCGCGGTGTCAGGGACCCACGCCGGGGTCGACACGACACGAACCCGCGGCACTGGAGGCGTTGTGTGCCTGCTGGTGGGGGCCTGGGCGTCTTGCCACATGGCAGCGGATCGAGACCCTGAGCAGGAGGAGCAAGCGAGCAAGTCCATCCGAGATTGTTTTTTTTTTTTTTGTTTTTTTTTTTTTTGTTTTTTTTGTTTCCCTCCGAGATTCGTCAATCGGCGCCCTGATCTTTCGCATACTGTGTGTGCTCCTGGCCAACACCCCTGGACTGCACAGCCCGAAGGAGTCGAAGAAAAAAAACAACCGAATCAACACAAACTGTCGACGGTCCGTGCGGAGTTCTTGGAGCTGTGCTGGAGGCCCCTGGCGGCGCCTCCAGCGCCGCACCTGGCGCCCTCCGCGCGCCAGGGAGGGGGGACCAGCGCGGATCGAAGGAATCCGCGCGGACCGTCGAACGCTTGCGTTCATGCAGCTGTTTTCTCCTGAGCGTTTCCTGCTCGCTTCCTGGGCCTCTCGGAGGCCTCCGGAGACCTCAGGCCCAGGACTTGCGGGAGGCCTCCGGGGATCCCCGCGGAGGCATCACGGGGCCTGCTGCCAGCGACGCCTTTGCGGTCGGGCCTGGATCGTCTTCGATTCGATTGGCAGGTCGAGGATTTTTTGAGGAGTGTGGCTGGCTGCCGACAGGATTTGTCCTTTTTCGACCCCTCCTGTCTTCTCCTATTCCTCAACTCCTCTCCCCCTCCTCCCCGTTCTCTCTCCCCCTCTCCCCGTCGGCGTCTTTCTCCATCCTTTCCTCCCCATCCTCCCTGAACCTTCCTCCCCTTCTCCTCCACCTCATTCCCCCTCCTGGCCGTGCACTGGCAAAGGGGAGGCTGAAGACGGTGTACCGCAAGCGCATCATCAGCGCTGGCCTCGGCAAGGCAAAAGGAGGAGAGCTCAGACCTCCGACACCGTCACTGTTTTATGGAGCGGGTTGCGGATCTCTCGGCCCAACCCCTGGGTTTGGTTCTCCGTCGCAGGTCGGTATTTCGATGGCTATGAGGCCCCGTGCTTGATGCCTTCCCGAGGCTTATACTCCTTCGCGACGGTCGGAGCCTTTTTGGAGAGGAGGGGCAGGAGAGGTCGGATATGCTAACCCTCCTCTTCAATGTTTGAACACTTACGCATGTCGGCCCTCGCTCACGCTCTCGCACACCTCTTTCCCTGCGCTCGTTCCACACAACAGTGGCCTGCCCTGGAGCAGCGGGTACCATCGAGAAACTGGCCAGCTCACCCTGCCAGCGGGCGTCCCACATCCGCGACCGTGGGTTGGGGCCACTCTGGCACTGCCCGTGCACTTCTCCTCCCCCACGCAACACCAGACAGCAGCTCGCGATGTGAAGCGAGCTTCACATCCCGTCGGCATCGCAACACCCATGCGATCCCAAAGTGACACAGGTGCTGGCTCAACCGGTGCGCGCTCCAGGACGGATGCCTTGCTCGTGCGGCGCCCCGTGCGCGCCTGGCGGCGCACGCACGCCGGCGGCCCCGAGAAGCCCCGGGCCTTCCTGGAAGGCCGCTCCTGGCGGGCCACATGCGAACCCTACCCCCACCCCCTACGATTTCTGAGGGGGAGGGTGGGGTTCACTTCACTCGGGAGCTCCCGAACGAAGTGAACCCCACCCTCCCCCTCAGAAATCGTAGGGGGTGGGGGTAGGGTTCGCATGCGGCCCCCTGGCTCCCCCTCCCGCGCCCCCGACCAGCACACTCCCAGAGCAGGCTCCGCGACCCCTCCCGGGGTCCACCGCGCCAAAAGTTCCCCGAGCTGTGCCCCACCCGTGGCGGCGGCGGGGCCTCCCGAGACGGCCCGAGAGCGAGGCGGCCCGAGAGCGATGAGGAGGACCTCGAGAGTGCCTCTGGCCCCCTGCCCAGGGCCCAGGCCGCTCTTTCCTTCCTGCCCCGCCATGAGGGGAGGCCCGCTTGCACGCGCCTGTCCTCCGTGGATCGCCTCGCCCCCTGGTGCCGCCGATGGGCGGCGGGAGGCCAGAGGAGGAAAAGGTACCCATGCCTCTACCCTTCCCCCGTTTTCCTCTGTTCGGGCCTCCTCGGAGGCCCTCGTCGCCACCGCCGGGTTCGCCTCGAAATGCGGGTCAGAACGCGCATCGGGAGAGGTCCGGGGAGTGGCGATCTCGGTACCTTCTGGTTTCCCCCGGAGGGCTCCGGCAGGCTTCGGCATCCCAGGGGGCCCATCTGAGACGCTGGCGTGGCATCGCTCGGACGTGTGCATTTTTTCTCTGCGAAAACCATCGAGGAGCATCCTGGACCATCGAGCAAAAAGAACACGCACGAAACCGAAAAATGCACGGGACATGGACGTCCGAGCGACGGAAAGCTGGAGTGCCATTGCACAGACGTGCGCGCACGGCGCCCGAGCACGGGGCGGTGGGCTCGGCGCGGCGGGGCCCCTCGCGAGCCATCCTGGGCGGCATCTCGGGCATCTTGGAGGCCGCGGTGGGTGGACTCGGAGACTCCGAGGGCCACAGAGGGGCGCGGGGGAGCTGATACGCCCTCCCCCCTGGGCTCCCCTTCCCTCTCCTCCTCCTCCTCCTCCTCCTCCTCCTCCTCCTCCTCCTCCTCCTCCTCCTCCTCCTCCTCCTCCTCCTCCTCCTCCTCCTCCTCCTCCTCCTCCTCCTCCTCCCCCCCACTCACTGCTGCTGCTGCTGCTGCCATTGCCATTGCCATTGCCATTGCCGTTGTCTGTGATCTGCAATCCGAGGTGCCGTCCAGGCCCGGTTCCTGACTGACCGCGGGCCCTCACCGGGCCCCCAGGGCCCTCAGGGAGCGGTTGAGGCCGAAGGGTTGGCCCCAGGGGCCAGGGGCGAGGTCGATTCCTCCAGGACTTCGCGCCCTGAGCAGGCCAAGATCCTCCGACCCCATCTACTCGGAGCCCTTTTAGGAGGCCTCTAGAGTCAACCCCCGGGGTCCAGGACACGTTTCCTGTACGGCGCTGCGCCCCCGTCCGAATGAAGACAAAACGGCATAAACATAAAAGCTTGTGGCGCTCCGCGCGGATTTCTTGGATCCGCGTTGGGCTCCCCTGGCGGCGCCTCCAACGCCGCCCCTGGCGCGCTCCGCGCGCCAGGGAGGAGAGTCCAGCGCAGATCCAAGAAATTCGCGCGGAGCGCCAAAAGATTATGCTAATGCCGTTTTTTTTTTGTTGTTCTTCTTCTTCTTCTTCTTCTTGTTCACCCGCACGCGCACCTGCACGGGCCCGTGTGCATGCATCCATTTTCGCGCTCGTGCCCCGGCCCGCCCGCATTCGCCCGTGGCGACAGTGACGGCCCCGCTCGAACTGCAGAGACTGGAGGGGACGCTTTTCTCTTCCAGAGCCGAGTCGTCCTTCACTGCCGAGGCTATCACTTTGGACGAAGCTGTCCAGGCAGGGATGGCCATCACAGCTGTCATCACCAACCGGCCGTCCTCCCCTTGACCTGGGCCGAGCGAAAGTAAAGAATGCGTTCGAGGGGCGGTGCACGCTCGCGGCCACGCGCGCGCGACACAGGCTCCAGTCTCAGACTGGACTGTTCCCCCTGTCTCGTCCATGCTGGTTGTGCAGGTTGTGCCCCGGGTGCCACGTCTTGCCTCAGTTCTGTGTTCATGTTCGGCAGGTCTTGTGGAGGAGGGCCCCCTGTACGGGGCCGAAAAGGTTCGAGAAGGAGGTCGACTGCAGAATTAATTACGTACCCCAGAATTGCTGTTTTCTTTGAATCTAGATGGAAGATTCGTAGATCCACAGGACATGTGACATACTTGTCGTAAGCTCGGCGAGAAACACCAATTTGGGGGTAAATCACTTCTGTATAGCCGATCTCCTACTCGAGAAGTTGGCGGGCGTCTGGCGAAGCCCAACAACGGCCACAGCAAAGTTGTTCGCCCGACCTAGCTGGACCCCCCAAACCTGACTGCGCCAGACTCTCTCGGGCTGACCTCGAACAGTATCGCTGGCCGGTCAGTCATCGAAATCTTGTTTTACCAGTGCTCGGCGGCGAGCGAGGGGGGGGAAGTTAGAGGGAGAAGGCCTTCTCGGAAGGTTCGGAAGCCCCCCCTGCCTTCTGACAAGTTATCTTCAAGCCTTCCCCGCAGACACAGAAGGAAACTTCTCAGAAGGCGAGAGGGCTTCTGAGAGTTTCCCCCCCTCGCTCGCCGCCGAAGCAAGCTGGACACACACGATACGGCTGGCCCAAGCGAGGGCGGGATGCACATGACGTGGCCAGGTGTCTCTCCCAGGCTCGGCCCTGCGACGGCCAGGCCGGGCTTCGCATTTTTCGTAGCCGGCGTGTGGCTTCGCGATGTTCCCCGTGTGAGTCAAGCCATGCGTGGTTCCAGCTGGGCTGCAGATCGTGGCCCAAGCAATGCCTGCACTCAGAGCCCCGAATCATCAGGGGTAACTCGGGTCAGGGCTAACTCGGGTTCGTTTTTCCGGGAATCCAAACCCGAGTTACCCCGGACCCGAGTTACCCCGGATAACTCGGGCGTCCAATGCACCAAGGGCCTCTCATCTCTCACTCGAGGAGCCCGACGCGCATTCTGGCCTTTTTGCCCGCCGTCGCCGAGCCACCGCGTCGTTGCCGCCCCGTTGCTGCCCGCCCAGATGCCGCCCAGATGCCGCCCAGTTGCCGCCCTGTTTCGACGCGCTGCAGCCTCGGTGTGCTGCTTTTCACGCATTGCTCTGCGCTGCCTTACGTACCTCGTTTGGTTTTGCTCGGCATTGTCCTGCGCTGCATTGCCTTGCATTGCTTGCATTGGTTTGCACTGCTTTGCGCTGCTGTGTATCGCTTCGTTTTGGTTTGCAGTGTCGTTACTTGTGTTGCTCGTATTGCATTGCGTTGCGCTGCTTGCTTTGTTTTCCTTCGCTTGCATTGCGTGCCCACGTTGCATTGCGTTGCATTGCTCTGCCCTGCTTTGTTCATTGCACTGCATTGCTGTGCATTGATGTGTACTGCTTTGCCGTGCCTTGCCTTGTGGTGCCGCACATTGGTGTGCCCTTACTTTGAGTTGCTGTGCATTGCTGTGTGTTGTGTTGTTCACACGGCGTTGCATTGCCTTGTATTGCTTTGCACCTCACAGATTTGCAGTGTTTCGCATTGCTCTCCACTGCGCCGCATGCCCTCCCATTGCTTGTGGCACTGTGCATTGCTTCGCATTGCTTGTATTGCTGTTTATTGCTGCGTATTGCCTAGCCTGCATGGGATTTGCAAGGCATATTTTTCAATGCGTTACATTGCTTAGCACGTCTCGCATTGCTTCCAGTGCTTTGCATCGCGTTGCGTGGTATTGCTGCGCAGTGCTTAAAACTGACTTACATTACGTTGCTTTGCTTTATCCTACGTTGGATTGCGTTGCTCCGTTGTGCGTTGCCTTGCATGGTGCTTCAACGCTGTCGCTGATCTGCTGTTTTTAGGGTCCGCGTTGGACTCGTAGCATGAGCTCCAGCTCCGGCTGTCGGTGCATGTGTAGTCGCAGTTCCAGTTTGTTTAAGCGTTCGTGTCATTTTCATATGTTCGTTTGCTGTTTGCTTTAGCCTCGAATTAATTGCGCAGTCACAAGTAACGCCTTGGTATCTGTCAAGTGTTTAGTAATAGCCTTTCCCGGGCTACAGTGCGTCAACCTTGAAGCCTTTATTGAACGAGTGCAATTTCGAGTTGGCATTGATATGTAGTTTACGCACAGTCATGGGCTTCGCAGTTGTGCGCATCCTGCCTGGGTCTAGGTAACGTTTGTGTCATCTTTTGGCACCAGCGAAAGCGTGAACTTCACCGTCAGCACAATGTGAAGACACATGCTCAGTTTCAGCCTGGGGCTTAACTTTAGCATTTGCCCTAGCAGACATCGCTGTTTCAGCCATCGCTATTACCTGAGTCTAGACCTAGCCCCCAGCCAACGCCTGCGCTCAAACCTGATGTTAGGCTGAAGTCAGGCGATAAGCCGCAGTCGAAGTCCAAGTCCGAGGCTGATACGGAGCCTGAAACTGAGCGTCAGGCTTTAGCTTGCGCCTAAGCCCAAAGCCAAAGCACCATCCATGGACTCGTGGTTGGGGTAGTGCTTGGGGTGAGGGCAAGATTGTTGTACCGATTTCGATATTGTTTCGTTGGGCTCTTTTCTACGCCATCTCGGCTCAAGCAACCGAGCCATTCCAGGGTTTCCCCCTCGATCGCTATACGTACGCGGCTGTCTTTCACCCGATGGAAGCGGCCGACGTGGACACGCTGATCTACGACGATGGTCCGCCTGCCGGTGCTGGGACGGGCGCCCACGCGGAGAGCGGCACCGCGAACCTCTGGGACGGGGGCGCGCAGCACGCGGAAACGCTCCAGTACGATGACGTGGACGATGCCGCGGGGGGCGTGTTCTCGGACGGCGACGTGCCGAATGCCCAGGGCACCGAGGATGCGGGGACCGTGCGGCCGCGCGAAGAAGGCAGTGCCGCCGCGTCGGCCCCCGCCCCGGGCAGGCGGAGCGCGGGGCAGCTCAACCTGCGCGCGGCCTTCGCGGCGTCGGCGGCCTCCAGCGGCCTGGGCCTCGAGGAGTGCGGTGGCGCTGCCGTGGCCTCGGACGAGGCGGCCTTGGCCCCCCCCGCCGGGTCGGGTGGCATGCTGAGCGCTTTCAACCTGCGGCAGAGCCGGTGGCAGAGCCTCCCCGAGCCTGGGGGATCTCTCGCGCCCGTGGCGGCGAGCCCGGTTGTGGTGGACGCGTCGCAGGCCTCGCCCATGGAGGTCCACCTGCAGGGCGAGCAGGCGGCGGTTGCGGGGCCCAGCGCCGACGACGATTGGGGCCAGGTGGTGCAGCTGGCAGCGGCCCCGGTGTCGCTGCTGCCCTCGGGCAGGGCCATCTTCGCGCAACTGCCGCAGTGCTGGCTGGACTTCTCTGCGCGCAGCGACGCCCTCGGCACCCGCTGCCTCTTCGCCTCGCGCCGCCACGAGCACTCCGTCTTCGCGCCGCTGGCCGCCGACGAGCTGATCCGGCTGCCGCTGGCCGCCAGCGGCTGGCAGCCGCCCCTCAGCTTCCCGAGCCCGCCTGCGGACGCCGCGAAGCTTGCCGACGAGGAGCCGTGGTCGGTGGAGATCCATCCCGGGCAGTGCGCGGTCCGCGTGCTCCTGCGGCCCGCCGTGCTGCTGCTGCGCATGCTGCGGCGCGGCTCCTCGCTGCCCTCGGCCACGTTCTCCTGGCGCGCCGTCGACTCCTCCGCCCCCGGCTGCGCCGCGCTGGCGGACGAGGCTTCGGCCACGCGTGAGAGCTGCCCTCTGCCGGGGTGGCCCTCCGTGCGCGGGCTTCGAGGGCGCGTGGGGGCCAAAACCCAAGCACGCGGGCCGCTGCTGTCGCTCCGCACGCCTGCGGTCGGCAGGGCCGCGCACCGAAGGCCACGCTGGCCTGCGGGGCAACTCCTGCGCGTGGCCGAGAGGCGCCCCGGCGTCAGGAGGCCCTGGGCCAGTTCTCCATACTCAGCAACGTGGAGGACGCGGCGCACCCGCAGCCCCCGCACTTCAAGGAGTTCCCGCTCCGCAGGGAGCAGCTCCGCTCGCTCGGGTGGATGGTCTCCCAGGAGCGCCGCCGCCGGGAGCCGTTCGCCGCCGAGCTGCGCGAGACGGTGCCCTGCGCCGACGCGCCCCACTGGAAGTTGCAGGGGTGCATGCGCTGCGAGTATCGCGACGTCAAAGGAGGGGTTCTGGCGGACGCCATCGGCTACGGCAAGACCGCGTGCACCATCGGCCTCATCGACGCCACGAGGAGCGATGCGCTTCCAGAGGTTCCGTCGGCCTTCCGTGGCTTCCTGCCGTCACGGGCGACCTTGGTGCTGGCCCCCACGAATCTCCACCAGCAGTGGCTGCGTGAGATTATCAAGTTCACTGGCAACACCCTGAAGGTGCTGTCTGTGCCGACGTACTCGCAGCTGAAGAAGTTCACCGAGCAGGAGATCAGGGACGCGGACGTGATCGTGGCCACGTACCGGCTGTTCTACTCCGTGCCATACTTGCGCCGGCTCGAGGAGCTCGCGCGTAGCATCCAGCCCGAGTTCGCGTTCCCCTCTTCCAAGGCCGGGCGACGGGGCTCACACATATCCGATGCCCTGGGCTGGACCCATCCTGCGCCCAGGATGGGGCAGCGGGCAGCAGATGTGTAAACCCTGAGATCCCACATCAAGAAAGACGTGCAACGTCGAAAAGCCTCCCGAACGGATCCCTGGATCCCCTCTTCCTGCAGCACTCTTCGAGCCGGACCGATCCGTGAGGGCTCTGGGGTGCGAAAGGGGCAGTTTTTCTAGATTCTGGCAGGTTCATTTGCATGGCATCCCGACCCCCCCCTCTCCAGGCAGCCCGCGGGCCGAAAAGGCGTGCCAAGGGAGTCCAGGCTTGAGTGAACCCTCCCCCATCCATGCAAGTACACTTGCTGCAGCCTGCGTAAAGAAAAATTGTCCCAAAAGAGGCAAAATCCTGCGTTTCAGCCCAAGCCCTGGATCCCAGCTTTCTGCCGCAATGTTCGAGCCAGCTCGGTCCGTGAGGGTCCCTGGGCCTGAAACAGAGCAAGGCCATCCCGTTGCGAAACACGATGCGGCGCCGCCGGGAGCTCAGGGATGTGGCGGCGCCCACAAGGGGAGTTGACGCAAGGGGGGCAGCCTTATGAGAAGGCAGGGGGGCTTCTCAGAAGGCCAGGGCCTTCTTACAGTCGAGTTTGATAAGTAGACCCACCCTGCCAAATCCAGGGTACTCTTGTGTCTTGTGCTTCGTAAGCCATGCCTTCTACATTCCTGCGGCAACGTGGTCCTCGGAATGGTTTTGCGTCCTCTCGCGTGTCCCCTCCAGTCAGCCCCGACTGCAGAAGGGCCTGGCGGCTGTCGAGAAGTTCTTGCAAGCCTCGGGGGCGTCCAAGAGGGGGGTGATGACAAGGGGGGAGATATCATGACGGGGGCTATGACATCTCTCCAAATTTCGTGGCGCCTCTTCTCATTTCAATGCGTTCCCTGGCCCCTCCTGGTCCGCGCACATGCCTCGGGCCATGATTTGCACACACTCCTCTTGGACGCCCCCCTCTTGGCCGCCCCCGAAAGCCTTGGGGCCCTTCCACGAAGGCCCCTGCCTTCTGGGAAGACCCCCATGCCTTCTCGATACGCCCGCCACCTCGCGCCCGCCCCCTTGTGGGCACCGCCAGTCCAGGGTTCCTTTCGGGCCTCCCCCCCCAAAATGCAAGTAAGCTTGCTGTCTGGATCACAGAACAGCTGTCTCGAAACAGGCGAAATCCCCGAAAGCAAAGCTGGCAGGGGCCTCGGAAAACGAAGTCGGTGATCGAGTAGGCGATCGACTGCAGAGTTCATGCACCCCAGAATTCATGTTCCGTGGAATCTACAGAACTCTGCGCCTCTGTTCGTAATTCGACTCTACGACAAAAGAACATCGGGGAACTCGCTCCTGTGGTGGAGCCCCTATCCGATCTCGACTCCTCATGCCAGCAAGCAGGGGGGGGGCGCGTGGCGACGCCCGGCTCTCGGGGAGGGCCCCGTCGCCCCCACGAGGGCGGTCACGGCGCCGCCTCGGCGCGGCAGCCCGCCGAGTGGGCGGCGGCCTACCGCCGCGCCGTGGAGCTGCTGCCGGCCGCGTGCGGGGCCGCCGGCCTGGCGGCCGACCCCACCACGCCGGTCGCCGAGGGACGAAAGCAGCCGGGCCCAGGGCAGGGGCAGCGTCGGGTGGGGGGGGACGGGCTCGGGAGGGGCTGCAGCGAGGGGGGTGTAGGCTCAGGGGGGGGGGGGGACAGGCTCGGGTCAGGGGCAACGAGAACTACCGCAGGAGGGGAAAACACACACAGGCACCATGAATCGTCGATTCCAAGGAAACTGTGGGAAAGTATGAAGGGTGGGGGGGGGGGAGGAAGACGAGAACTCAGAAACTGTGGGAAGATAGTGGGATGTTTGTGTGTGTGTTTTTTTTTTGTGTGTGTGTGTGTCCCTGCAGGGGGAGGGGTAGGCCCCGAGCGGGGGTCACCACCCACCAAACCACCCCAACCCAACCCGAAGGCTCAGATTTACCCTCGATTTCCAGTGGGGGGGGGTCGGGAAACGTCGAAAAAACACGTGTGGAACCCTTACCCCCCCAACCCGAAATTCGGGTCTTCGGGTTGGGTTGGGGTGGTCTGGCAGGTAGTCAGGGGGGGACGCATCGACCCCCCATCACCCCATTGCTTGATCGCCGCCGACAGCGGCCCGTGGGCCCACCCTACCCAGGAGCCTGCGGCCTCGCTACCGGGGGGCCCACCGCCGATCTTCGGCCGCGCGCGGAGGGGGGCATCGGGGGGGTGGGGGGAGGGCTCCTTCCCTGACCTTCCAGAGTGCCAAATAACAGCACTCCAGACCTATAGATCTATCTGGACTGCCTCCGACCTCGACAGGAATCAGGAAGTCGACGTCCTGGTGCTATTTTTGTTAGCCCTCCTGGAAGGTCAGGGTTAGAAGCACCCCTGCTTCTTGGAAGGCGCGGGCCTTCTCGACAGACGACATCCTCGAGCACCCCTGCCGGAATCCTCCCCGACATGTCGCCGACAGATATTGGCGGCGCGCGCAAGGGGGTGGAGGGAGGGGCGAGGGCTTCTTAGCAAGAGGCTGCTTCTTAGAAGGCGCGGGCCTTCTCTATAGATGTGAGGCCGGCGCCTTCTTAGAATCAGCCTCCTGCTAAGCAGCCCTCGCCCCTCCCTCCACCCCCTTGCGCGCGCCGCCAAGATCTGTCGGCGACACATCGAGGATTCCGGCTCGATGTGCAGTCCCCGCCCCCCTCTGTCCTGGCCCTGCACTGGGACGAGGGTGAAGCATTCCGGAGCGTTTCGGAGCGCTCTCAGAGCGCTCCAGGTCGCTCTGAAACGGCCGCGGCGCCCGATACATCCTCTGCACCCGCCGATGCTCAGAGATTCTCGATCTATCCCCATCAGAATTTGTCCCTATCCTGCCTTCGTCTTCAAAAAACCACAAACGTGCTGTCTCGGAGTTCCGCGCGGAGTTCCGCGCCTCCGGCGCCGGCCCTGCGCGCCAGGGAGAGGGGCCCAGCGCCGATCCGAGAATTCAGGCCAGACCCCCCAGGAATGCTGCTTTACGCTGTTCTGTCACCAGGCGGGGCCAGGACAAGAGGCGCATCGCTCCAGAGCGTCCCGGAGCGCGTTCGGCGCATTCCGGCGCTCTCTGGAGCGGCCGCGACGCCCGATGCATCCCCCCGTGCCGCTGGATCTCAGAGATCCGGATCCGATTGCGAGAGCCTTACGGCCGAGGCCGCCGACCTTGAAGGGGGACGACGACGACGACGACGACGACGACGACGACGACGACGACGACGACGACGACGACGACGACGGCGGCGGCGGCGACGACGACGACGACGACGGTACATCTTACATCTCCCAGGGCCACTGGATCTCAGAGATCCTGGACCGATCGGATGTTGCGTAAAGGGGGGCGGTAAATGGACAGGCGAAGAAAGGTGCACCTTTTGTGCCCTACAGTTGTCCTGAAGAGGCCCCCTGGGGCCCCAAGGGGGCAAGGTGCACCTTTCTCCCCCTCATTCCCGGAACCCCCAACGTCGTAATTTTTTCATCACTTCGATCCCCCGAGTGTTCGACCCATTCCCCAGGTCCGGTTTTTCTCCTGACTTGTTTTCTGACGGTCTCGAGGCCCCGTGAGGGCCCCCAGAGGCCGAGAACTACGAATGGCCTCCATACAGTGGACACCCATGTCAAGAAACACCCTCCTTGCCTCCAGGATGCCCTGGGTCTCCGGGATCTCGATGGTTCTGCAGTGGGAAGCGTGCCGCTCCCACACCAAAAGTCAATGGACGTCCTGGGGTCTCCGGGTTGGGCTTCTCGTGGAGGGGGCTTCTCGTGGTCCAGCTCCTGCCTGCAGGTCCGGCCGCCGTCCGCCTCTGGCGCCGGGCGCGCGGAGGACGAGACGCCGGAGCAGGCCGCGCAGCTGGAGCTCGGGCGGTTGGTAAGGGGGGTGCGGCCGAAGTGGGGGCCGAGGACCATGATCGGGTCGGGAGGATGGAGCTGGGAGAGAGGAGGGGTGTCATTGTCCGTAGCTGGCCGAAGGCATCGTTCACTGCATCCGCATGCTGTTGCTCATGCCCCTTCTCCCCCTCCCCTTCCTCCCAACTTGGTAACTCCGTTACTTCACATGGGGGGTGAAGCAAAGGGCCCTAAAGGGGCCGTTCAGGGCCCCTTTGGGGCTCCAGCTGGCTCCAAAAGGGGCCCTTCGGGGCCCCTCTAGGGTCCTTTTCTTCACCTCCCATTTGGGCCACGCCCTTTGAGGCCCCGTGGGGGCCCCCAGGGGGCCCTTTGAGGCCCCTTTGCGGCCCCTTTGGGGCTTCTTTGGGGCCCCTTCGGGGACCCTGTCTTCACCCGTTGCTTGGGTCACCCCCCGCTGCCACCCGCCCGAGGAGCGCCCGCGGCGCCGCCGCAGGCTGGAGAAGGCCGCGCCGGCGCGAAGCGAGAACGGCGCAGTGGCCGAGGCCTCGGCGAGCGCGGGAGCATTCGGGCGAGATAGCAATTTGTCCTCTCCTCCTCTCCCCTCCTCCTCCTGCCTCCTCCTCGCTCCTCCTCCTCCCTCCTCCTCCTCATCCTCCTCCTGCTCCTCCTCCTCCTCCTCCTCCTCCTCCTCTCCTCCTCTCCTCCTCCCTCCTCCTCCTCCTCCTCCTCCCTCCTCCTCCTCCTCCTCCTCCTCCTCCTCTCCTCCCCTCCCCCCTCTTCCTCCTCTCCTCCCCTCTCCTCCTCCCTCCTCCTCCTCCTCCTCCTCCTCTCCTCCTCCTCCTCCTCTCCTCCTCCTCTCCCCCTCCTCCTCCTCCTCCCTCCTCCTCCTCCTCCTCCTCCTCCTCCTCCTCCTCCTCCTCCTCCTCCTCCTACGCCTCCCTCCTTCCTCCCCTCCCCTCCTCCTCCTCCTCCTCCTCCTCCTCCTCCTCCTCCTCGACAAAGCCATAGCGCATCTGGAGTCCGACACGCCGCAATGCCATCGGGACCACTCTTGGGGCAACCCCAGCACTTGACCGAAAGCGGGGGGGCAAAATGCCGCCCCCCCGCGTCCGCCAGGAGCTACAGCGGACGCCAACCTGCTGACGGGGCGGAAGAAAGAAGGAAGAAGACGACGAAGGCGCCAGCTCACCGACGTGCTGCTCCGCGAACAGCCCCCATGCCTACGTGGTTCTTCCAGCACCACGGGACACTGGTCACCCCCAACGGACCTCCGTGCGGGGCACACGGAGCGGGAAGGCGTATGAGTGACCAGGCCCACCCCCGCAGGCCCCTTTGCCCAAGGGGGGTCAGGTGGGACCACGTCGACCCCCCTGACCACACCTGACACCGCAACGTGACGGGCAGGCAACAGGAGTGGCCCGAGCCTGCCCCCAATCCAGGCAGGTACCGTACAGGCCGACGTGCACCCATCGCGAAGGACGGGATTGCGCCGACCCGTGGACGGGTGCCCTCGCGGGACCTCGGGGCCAGATCCCCGTGGGACCTGAGACAGCAGAGCAGACCTGGCCACTTTGGGGGGGGCCACCCCAGTTGGTCCAGGGGTGCCGCCCCAGGCCCGACAGAGCACCGACCCCCTGGCCCGCGGCGCCGCAAGCACGCCTAGGCGGTTTTCAGTGCACCCCAGGGGCCCCGATGCGCCGCCCACGCCTCCTCCTCCTCCTCCTCCTCCTCCTCCTCCTCCTCCTCCTCCTCGTCTTCGTCCTCCTCCTCCTCCTCCTCCTCCTCCTCCTCCTCCTCCTCCTCCTCCTCCTCCTCCTCCTCCTCTCGGCGGCGAGCCTGAGGGGGAAGTGAGAAGGGGCGGGCCTTCGCGGGCCTTCTCAGAAGGCTCGGAAGTTCCCCGCCCTTCAGAGAAGTTTGGTGGTCCTTCCCCAAAGACCCACAGAATCATC